ATAGAAGATTAAATAGATTACATTTTTGGGATATCTTTAATCATTTATGGAATAGTAATGAATTCATATCCTATAACTTTATCAGATTTTTATATTTCAAATAGTTCTCCTTATTATTTATTTTTCTTGCTTATCTTTTTTTTATTGCTTTCATTCTGTTTTTATGATTATATTTCTTCTTCTAATTATTTTTATGCTTATTCTTTTAATTGTTCATTAATTTCTTCTCCTAATCCAAGTTATCCATCATCATGTCTACCAAATGAATATAGATTTCCTTCAGAATCTAATGCTATACTATGATGTTCTCCTCCTACCATATCAATAACATCAATATTATCAAAAAATTCAATTAATACAGGTAATTATTAATTTTCTTAATTACCAATACCCAATTATCCATAATTATTTAATCCCCAACCAAATATTCCAACTTTATTTTCTTTCATTTAAACTTTAACAAATGCATGTGAAGCACCTGTAAAAATATTTAAAATTGGTTTTTTCATCTTAATTGGTTATGGATTTAAATTTTAAATAATAGATCTTCTAGTCTCACTTTTTCTACCTATTACTAATGTTTCTGCATCTCCCCATGTTAATAACTATATATATAAATATAAATAATATACTTTTTAACTTTCCAATAATACCATTGTATGATTTTAACCACATAGTATTTTTTTAATTCCTTCTGTAATATTATCCATTTTTTTTGGCTTTTATACTGGTTCTCCAATTGGACCATGAGTATTTGCATAAAATCCCCAGAAATATACTAAACCATTAGAATTTGCAGCAATTGAATGAGAACTACCACAAGCAATCATATCAACAGGAGGAAGATCTGTAATCAGTGCTGGTACTCGAGCATCCTATCCTTCTATTTTAGGTCTACCTAGTACTCCTTTGTCATCACATCCAAATGAATATACCTAATTTATGTTAAATCAATGCAATACTTTTCCTTATGATGTCAAAATTAAGGCATGCATTCCTCCACATGCCACTTAAGTTATTGATAGATTATTTAATTCTTTTATTTGATATGGTCTTTTTACTTCATACATCTCTTCGTCATCTTCATCTTTAGCCAAAAATTAATCACATTCTGCACTTCCCCAAGCATACAATTTTTATTCACTCAATTATTCACTTTACATCAATAATTAAAATTAATATTCATTTATTTTTCCTATCAGCTCTTGAAAATCTCCTAATCAATAGTGGACCATGAAATTTTGGTTAATTAGGCACCTGATTTTGCAAGAAATGTGCATAATCTGGATGAAGGTATGGCTATTTATGGAGATCTGTAAATTAATCTAAATTATTACTCAAATAAGATAATGTATTATAAGTAGTTAAAGTTTCTATAGTATTACAATACTCTTCTTCACTTATTACAGATTCTTAAGGTGGCATGAATTGAATTTTTTATTTTTATTCATCTCCAAACAAATCATTAAAGGATTCAAATTATCCCCTTAAAATAGATTTATATTAACTTACTTCTTATTAACTATTACATAAATATAAGTTAATAATGACTCTAATTTTACATGCAAAGGCAATATGGTTCTTTATTCATAAGTCCAATCTGATATTTTCTCTCCTATTGGCGATGGACTAATTCTTTCAGCCATTCTTCCTAATGATTCTATAAATTCTATAAGAGACATTCTAACATTTCTATCTTAATTCAATTCATCCACTTATGATATCATTGAAAAGTTATAAATTATGACTTATTATTTATCACTCAAATATTCATTTAATCCAATATGTTTACAAAATTCTTTAAATTCTTTTATAGAAATCCATTTTAATTTAAAATACCATCTTCTATTACTTATGTCAGTTATATAATCATAAAGTTTTTTCAAAAATCCCATTTTGAATGTTATTAAAGTATCACACTCTTTATTCCATAATCTCTTTTATCTCCATTCCTAAGTTGAATCAAAATTATTGAAATAAGGTTTAAATTCTTTTAATAATCGATATACTGCATCAGCTGCATTCTTGACAGTATTAGTTCTTATATATTTATCAAGAGCCAATCTGTAAAGACTCTCAATAAATTAATATCTTATTAGAGCTGAATCTGGATTATAGATAAATTTATTGTCTACATTATTCTTTATTGAAATTAAATTACTTTCTACATCCTAGATTTTTAAATCAACTCCATCAACTAATCCAACTTATTAAACTAATTTTTAAAATTATGGAAATTATATGCAAAACATATCAAATTATGGAGGTTAATGTCCAAAACTTGAAAGGTACTTATATACATCTTTTAATAATTAATACTGTTATCTAAAATATTCTTTCATCTTTGTTCTTTCATATTCATTTCTAACAAATCTTGTAATCTTACTACATGACCAATCAAAATCCAAACAATTATCCAATAAATCATCATTATCACTTTAAAATTACTTAAAAGATGAATCTTCTTTATTCCAAAATATTATATTGACTTTCTTTCTGATAGAATTATTTGCAAATTTTCTCAATATGTATTTTTTTTGAGCAGAACGAGGAAATATTTTAACTAATGGTTTATAATCATTTTTATCATCTATTACATATTCTTATTTTGATAATAAATAATTAATTTAATTAATCTTTTTAAATTTAAGTTTTGTTCCATCTGCAAATTAATGATATTAAAATTTAGTATCCTTTCCTTATAATATTAAATCATCAGGAGGAGATTACATACTTAAAGAATTTTTATCTATAAAATAATCTTCAGTTATTGGATTACTGAAGAAATACAAAATTCTTCTTTTAGGTGGACACATTTAATAAGTAGTATAATAAAATTTGTCAAAATCATCCAAACATCTTTCATCTACAATTTCATCTTTTGTTTCAATATCATAAGCTTCTTAAATAGCTGCCATTGTTATTTTTTTATCTTCATTTATTACTTACTTTAATTAATAAATTATTTCCCCAGTTGTTAATTATGGTTCTACAGATTTGCTCTTTCTTTATTATTTCATCTACTCCTTTAATTCTAAACTTGATGTCATTGGTATTGGTTTATAACTAATTTTATTAAAAAATATTACTCTAAGAAATCAAGATGGAGAAAGATTGGCACATCACCATTAAATTCATCTGGTGTATAATTAAATTTAAATTCCATCCATCCTTAACAAATCCAACAACAATCACTACCAATTAATCCATCATTTAATTCTGGTATAAAATTTACACCATCAATTTCATACTTCTTTTATTATAATCTGAAGGGATTTTATTAAAGTTATATTCCATCCTTAGCAAATTGAATAAATCCATTAGGATCTACATATGCTGGACATTTATTTCCTTCAATATGCAATCCATAAATCTAATTATTTTTTTTCAATGCTTCATTCAAGATTCTTAATTATTATTCACTAAATTGATTATATGATAAATCAATATGAATAAGTGAAACTTTTGGATTAGAAATAATTTCACTCCAATAAATCATGCAATTATTCTATCCCAAATGATTATAACTTAAATCTATAACTTTTAATGATTTATTATTTCCTAATCCTTTGGCAATATATTATCCTGATAAAGAACCTAAATAATTCCAGTTTAACATAAAGACTTCAACTGTTTTATTATTTCCTAAAAAGTTATATAAAGTTTATGAAATTGAATCAGTTAATCCATTCTCTGATAGATTTAATCTAGTAACTGTATTATTTTTCATTAAAGCATTCAATAATATTTAAACTCCTGAATCTCCTAATGTATTATTTGCAACATTTATGTATTTGATGCTATAAAACAATAAGATCAATACCTTTTATGAGTTATTATAAATTTCTCAAGAAGTTAAGCTCCCCCTTTTCCTAATTTATTATTTGAAATTTTTAATTCCTTTAAGGAAAGTGGAATACAATCAATAAAAAGACTTAATTCTTAGTCTTTCAAGTTATTATCACTTAAAAATAATTGTTTAATTCTCTAACTCTTTTATTATTTCAATAAAGTGGTTAATATTGGATAATATTTAGACCCAATGCCTAAATTGGTAAAATTCATCTCTTTTTTATCAATTAAGCAATTTGTTAAATCAATTTTTTTGGGGAACAAACTGTCATGAACACAAAAATAGTAGACCGGATTCATTCCATCTTCTTTAATGAAATGTTGAGCTATGTCTCTCAATTTATTTTAGTTTTTCAAGAACCCAAAATAAGAATCATCATTATTTGTATCTCTGAATTATCACTCTCAAATACTTAATTTATTTTTAACATGCTCCTTATGTTTGTCTAAATCAAAAACATCCACGCTACTATTTGATTTCTCAGAACTATCTTCACTTATCTCTTCGCTCTGGTTAATCTAAACATCATTCTTTGTAGGAAAGATGCGTGGAGTTACTCTAATAAGCTTTTATGATAGATAAATAGATTTCTTTTATTTCTTTATGCTCTCATCAAAATAATAAGATTTCTCTTCTTTAAAAACCTCATTATTTTATTTTAATCTTGATTCTGATCTGCTAGTTTTGGTTGTAAAAAATGTTTTCAACATCTCTTTCTTTTATCTTGTATAATCTTTAAGTAAAGGCAGTTTTCTTTATTGTTTTGAATTAGAAAGAATTATTGACATTTTCTATATTATAAATAATATACTGAATAATATTTCAATCAAATTTACAAATATTTTGTATTCTAAGCTACAAATTTAACTAAAATTAATTTTGGATTGATATACTCAATATTTAAAACTTAAAGTAATTAAATCATAGATATCTTATATTATATCTAATAATTCATATTATAACATAGTAATTAAAATTAAAAATCCTTATTTTGATAAATTTATTTATTTATAAAATATTATCAAAATAAAAGTGTAATATTATTAAATTTTATAAATAATTAAAAACCTTAATAATAATATTGCAAATTATTATTAACTTTTTAGTATTTTGTACAACTTTTTTATTTATAATAATTAATAATTTTTCACACATTTATACCAACTTCATGAAAACAATCTCGAATTATTTTTTATTCTTCTTCACCTACTGATTTCATAGCATGTTTTATTTTTGAATTTTATTTTAAGACCCATTTCAAAGCCTCTTTCAATATAATAATTAATATATTACCTTTTAGTATATACGGAAAGCTCTCTTTAAATGAAATCAATTAACTTTTTTCAGAATTCATAAATGCAAGTTTTTATTCCAAATCTTCTCTTATACCAGTTAGTTTTTCGATATCTTTAGTGAAATTTTCAATAACTTATATATGCATATCTAAATTTTCTGATTTTTCTTCCAGTCTTTAAGCTAATCTTTGGTTTTCAGATTAAATTTACTATCCAAAAATATATCAATAAAATACCTTAAGATGTTATTAATTTTTTTGGGCTTATTCATATTTTTCATAATATGTCATATTTTTTGCTTTTAATTCTTCATTTTACTTTATAAAATGTTCTAAATTATTTTTCAAAGATTTTCTAAATACAAAATATAAATACTTTTCTTGCTCTAAATCTTCTTTCATTTTTAACTTTTTTTATTTATAATCTTCTCTAAGTTTTATTATTTCATTAAATTTATCTTATTATAATTTAGAAATCTCTTAAATAAATATGCTTTATTGTGAATGATCCATAGCTCTTCTTTTAAAAAAGTCATTCATTTAATTAGCTTATTATTTCATATCCTTATATTATAAAACTAAATCATTGGAGATCTAATAATTAAATAATTATTTACCTCTTCTCCTGGTTCTCTGAAGGATTAATTATCATCACTCATTCGTTTTAATAATTATTAACATTCAACTCTTTTTCCATTAAGTTCATTTCTGACTCTTTGAAGTTGATCTTATAAATTTTAAAAATCTAATTTTAATTTTTGATTTTTTTCTTTTTTATTTTGCAATTCCTACGTTAATTACATTACCTTGGCTTAACAAGCTTCTAATTCAAGACTTTTAATTTTTTCTTATTTATTTGTTTCTCTACTCCAATTTTCTATTTCATACTTTAACTAATCTCTTTCCTTTTATATTTCATATAATAAGCTTTCTTAATTTGCAATAGTTTTTCTTAATCTTTCTTCACCTTCTCTAGCTTAAACTAGATACTTTTTAGTTTAATTATTTTCTTCTATATAAACTTTTTAAACATTTAATATTAACTTTTCAAAATGACTAAATAAAAATGAAGGCACTTTTTCTGAGAAATGTTTGTATTTTTAATGTCCTTTAACATTTTCCATATAATATTTAAAAAAGCGACTATAAATTTGAAATTAATCTACTAATAGAGATGATTTTATGCTATCAACATTGTCTAAGACTGGTACTTAAAAAGTGTTAAAGAATTTCTATAAGATCTAATTAGCAACAGTAGTTGATTATTCTTTATTAATTTCTAATCTTGTTTACAAATCTTGAGACATCATATCATGTAATTCTTTTTTCATACTAATAATTTTAGAATTGTCTATTATTTCCTTTGATTTTTAATCTAACTTTTAAAAGATTTCAGCTTAAATTTATTTATTTAATTAAATCAATTCTTCATCTTCAAATGGAGCTTTTAATTTTGACAAAGCATCTTAATAACTCTTAGAAAATTGACTTTTAAGTTCTTCCAAAAGATTTCTCGCTTCTTATTAAATGACTCTATCTAAACTAGATAAAATTTATGGAATTCCTCCAGAATTAATAGCATCAACATATTCAAGAGAAAGTTTCAAAAACATTTCAGCAGTTAAAGTAACTCCATTAATTTATTTTGGAGGGATATTTTTGGATACTCTTTTTTCAAAATCATATACTGCAGCAATGAATTCTGGTCTTAAAGCATTCCAATCTTCTTCTTCAACTCTAGCAAGTCTTCTTTCATCCTAAATAGGTCTCACCATACATATGCAATCTCTAAATTTAAAATACTCTCTAATCTTTCTTCTAATAAGATTTTTTCTCTCTCCATCTGGACCTGGATTAGATTGATCTTAAAGTGCAAATTCCAAATATTCACTTGGAGTACGTCCTCTTAAGTCTAGTGAGAAATCTCTCAAAACCCAAAGGAATGTTGGAAAAAATTAACTTAAACTTTTATCCTCTGATCCTACACTGATGTTCTCACTTAATTTAATAACGAGAGAGAGATTTTCTATTGACTGTTCATCAATATGACCCAATTGATTAAATACAAACATTGAAGACAGCAATAGAGATATTGAGAAAATTTTAGTATCAACTCCCAAGTCTCTTTAGACTGAATTTAATCCTTCTGTATCCATCAATAAAATTGAAGTATTTTCATTTAATGGAATAGGTTAGCTCCATAACCAAATACCTTTTGTACATGGCATAGTAGTTGGTCCAACTGCAAATCCCTTTTATCTTTTTAATACTCTATTAGCTAAAAATGATTTTCCTGTTCTTTGTGGACCTGCAATTGTAAGAACAGCTACCTAAATATCCCATTAAAAGTGAATACTTTTCTGTCAGCAATTGATTGCAACATTTTAATTGCCTAAGGGTGTATTTCAAAAATAGTTTCCAATCCTTCTTTAGTTTAAGTTTCCTTTAACTCAATGAATGGTATGGGTTAACCTTACATTTTATATTAAATTTATTATAAAATTTAGCAAATTCATTAAAAAGTGTTTTTATTACTTCTTTTGTAATAAACTCTTAATTTGATAGATAATTGTTTGACTTGATGAAAGAATGTGTATTTGTCAAATTTATCATGTAATCTCTAAAGTCTTTAGTTTTTTCTTTTCATTGTTTTAGCCATTTATTTTAGTTGTGACTCTAATGAGTATTGAGGCATATATGAAATACTCAAAAAGTTTACTTTATCTATATTAAAAGTATTTTGATAATAAAGTTAATGTTTAACTTCATCAAGAATGCTAAATGATCCACTTTAATGATCTAAAATTGGTGCAAAGTTACTTTTAGATGCCCTTTGTTCAAGTTTAGTAAATTTTATTTTTGATAATGAAGACCCTAAAATAATAAAAAAGAATACTATGATGATTTTTTAATATTTATTATTATATTAATTATTTTGATTGATTTTATGGAGTATGTTACATTTCTGAATTTTATTCTTCATCACTAATACCACTAAGATTTTAAGCATTTTAACCAATCATTTATGCTGAATTTTAATAAACAGCTTCTGAAAACCCTGTTCTTTAATGTGATGTTTCATTTTAATTATTCTCATTCAAACCAAAAAGTTATATTTATTAATCTTCTTAAAATTAATTCAAAGATTGATTTAATTTACTCAATTATCCTAAAGTATTATATTTATTGTCTTTTCTTTTCTTAGAAATTCTATAATTGTGTTCTTCAGCATAGTTTTCTTTTTTCAACATTAATTCTAAATCTGGTTTATATTAAATTAAAGGACAATCAATTTCCAAATGAAAAGGTCTATTACAAAAATTGCATTTATGATCAAATAACACTAAATTATTTGTAAATATAATTTTGTCTTTAATATGATTGAAAATTTCATGATCTTTTTGATTGCTTCGAATAATTTCTAAGAATTTTTTCCTATTTATTTTATATAATTAAGTAGGACTATTACATATAGCTGTCTCTTTAGGACAAAAACCTGTAAAAAAAGAATATATTCCAAGATATTAATTTTTTTATAATGTTTTAAGTGTTGTTTTGGTTTAGAATTCAGTTTGTTTAACTTCACCTTTATGAATAAAATATCTAAAATAAAAATGATATTTTTTACAAACTATCCTCCTAAAGATCACCTTATTTATATACTACATCTCCAGCTAGTAATGAAATTAATTATAGATTCTTAGCAACTTGTATTTATGTTGATTTAGAAAAATGATTTATAATTAATTTTATTTGCTTAATTACTCTAGCTTATATATCTGCATTTAAATCTTATTGTAAATTAAAAGGTAATGAATTTAAGATATTGTTCACATCATCCATATTCTCCTTTTTCTCTTAATATAATTAAGAATTTAAATAATTCCTTATTCTTCCTTAAATTTATTCATCTACATTGTTTTTTAACATAAATTGAGTAATTTAAATTAGATTTTTTCTAATAAATTATAAATTCATTATAATACTTATAATTTAATTATGTATCATAAATATTCTTTAAGATAATCCCTATTGAGCTCATTGTATAAGCAAAAGCACAACTAGATAAAAACATTACAATTGATGCAACAATCATTTCAATTTCATTTACTGCAACAACATCACCATAACCAACTGTTGTCATTGTCATAGTTGCCCAATAAAAAGCTGCATTATATTTACTCCAAGCTGATTTATTCTCTAAATGATTATCTATTAACCATGAATTACCTAGACTTTCAGTTTATTATCCAACATAATGCCAAATACATGCTATAATATGAGCAAAATAATAAATTTAAATTATTAAAGATATTAAATCTATTGTAAAACTTTGATTTCCTCGACAATATATTTATTGAAAATACTCTGTAATATATCTTTAAATTTTTTTATATATCAAAAACACTTAAATTATTATTAGAAACTCTTAAAAGTAATACAATTAATAAAATTCGTATTTTAATAATATCCATATTCCCATATTTAAAAAATCAAATATAGCATTAGATTTTAAATAGTTTTTAATGAAATCCTTTCTTTAATATACTATAACTGCTTCTCTAATTATAGCTCTGTTAAACATTACTAAAAAATCAAAAACCAAATAAAATAATATTATTGACTAGAGAAATTTAATTATACTATTATTAATTACTTCGAAAGAACATAAAAAAGGACTGATCCATAACATAATAAGATGGAATAAAAGTCCTAAAATATCCCAAAACATTATGAAATGAGTAGATGGTAAAAAAATCCATTTATTTTTTTTACTGTCCTCAGCTATAAAATAATATTTTATTTTTTTTACAGCCATTTTTAGAAAATTATTAAGCTGGTTTTTCATCTAAAGCTTGAGTTATTCTTAATTTTTAATCCTATTTCATAAAATATAGATTTGTAAATAGATTGTTTATGAATCGATGTATAAAGTATTGTTTCCTAAAATTTATTACAAACTATGAAGATTTTTTATTTTCAGTCATTCTTAAGGATCTATTTGTTAAAAATATTGCATGTTTTAAATAATCAGACTTATTCAAAAACATAAATTTACTTTACGACTTTAACCAATAACTTTATGTATTTTATCCTTAATCATATTCTGATGTAACACTTCACTCTCTTCATCAAATAATGATTATGAAGATGGAGACTCAGGTTTCGATGTGATTTATTATGTTACATTGCTAGGACCCATTCTAGTAGTATTAGACGTATTAGCTTCCATAACTAATTTGAAATATTAATTCTTGAGATGCAAAATTATTAATTCTTATTTATATTCTTCAATTTAACTATGTGAATCATAAATTAATATATAATATCTCTTCATAGACTTAAATTTTTAAACCCTTTTTTAGTTATGAAAAACATAAATATTTAAACCATTATAAATTTCCTAAACCTTACAAATAATAATAATATTCTGAAATTTAATCAATAAATTAATACTTTTAAGGCATTATCATTGAAGTTGTTAACCAATAAGACCTATAATCTTAGTTAAATCATTACTTTATTGAGTGATTACATTTTTTAAATATATCAGACCCATATAATGGTAATAAAATAAAATTTTTTAAATATTTATTACCTAATATAAACATTGAAAAACTAAACAAAGTAATTAAATATCTGAAATGATAGATTAATAATTAATTAGAAAATTTATAAGGAATCATTAGAAATTTGATAAGAAATTTATACTAATGTAATGTTAAATCTACTGTCAATAAGTTGTACTCTAATACAAGTATTCCCTTGAATTTGCACAAACTAATATTATAATGAATTTAATTTTCACCAATTATTAGTATTTTAATTAAGATTTTGAAGTTATTGATATTATGAATATTTTAAAATAACTTTAAAAAAAAGCTAATTCTCTAATAAATCTTTAAAATATCTAAAAAATCATTAAGATTTACTAATAAATGATATAAAATAAATCTTATATCAAGATATTAAATTAATTTATTCATTTTTGCCACTTAAAGAGGATTTTCAAGATTTAGAAACTACAACATAAAATTTTATTAAATCTATATCCATAAATATAAAAAGTTTGATTAATCGATTCAATTTAAATTATGATTAATTTGAATTCTAATTTTCAACATTAAGATTTTGTTGACCAAATAATAAATGATCTTAAAAGCAATATTTTATTCTTGTTCATAATTTCACTAATTAATTTTGAAATAAATTGTACCCTTTCAACACTTAATGATATTACTATACAGTATTATATATGTTTAAAATTAAATTTGATCATTCTCAAGGTAATTAAATAACATATAATTAATTGTCATTACTGTAATATTCAAAAATAAAATGCTGTAATTTAAATATCATTAAAATTTTATTAATTTTTATGCAATATATTTTAAATATAGTCAATCTACTTTATCACTTGATACAATTTAAAAGGCTTATTCGATTTATTATTCATTTGGTTCAAATTTCTTTTTTTTACACTATAATCTATGTTCTTTTTGATATTATTGTAATTTAGATAATTATTCTGTTTTTTTAGTTTTTTATTCTTTTTCATCTTATTTTTATTTTTTTAATTAGTTTAACACTTATTTTAATCTTTAAGTTTCTTTTTTATCATGAATGATTTTTTAATTCTTATTTTCCATTAATTTTTTTCTTTAATTTAAGAGTTTCAATTTTTGAGGATCAGGAGGAGGTATAATTTTTTTTGATTCTTATTTTGATTGACTTCTGTGTTTTGATAAAGATTTATTTAAAATTTCTCTTTAAATTTAAACAATTTTTTCAATTCTACTTTTTCTTTCTTTACCTTCTTCAATCTAAATAATTTAAATATATATATAATACTCTTGATATATCTGCTCTCCATGCAACTTTTGATAAACTTTATTCTCTTGGTTATGGTTAAAGTTATTTAGCACTATATAAATATTGTAATTATTTTTATTTTTCTTGATATTCTTTCAATTTTTATCTTCTAGCTGTTTCTGGATTTATAATTGCAGCACTTGAGGGTCTAGATTTTCTATTTGATAAATGAGTTGTTTAATGGGATTATCTGAGTTCATAATGATGATATTCACATTTTTATTTAATTTATTAAGAAGAATTCAAAATTTTTTATTTTCTAGATTTTTTAGATTCTGAACTAACAATTGATGATTATTCTAAATAATATATATATTTATTATACTTATAGATTTATTAGATTTATTAGTTGATGGATTTTCTTAATAATTTCTTCTAACTTTAGGAGTGGGAGTTGGAGTTTTTTTAAGTCTTGTTGAACTTTTTCTACTGCATCCACAACAAGAACATGAACAACAACTAATCAATTCATATTTTTGATTAGAGATTCTTGATTTTTGATCTCTATGAGTAGAATTAGATTTAATTGATCTTGAAGACTTATTTGTTTGAGATCTAGGTTAAGTTGTAAGAATAGTTCTTGATGGTCTTTAATCTTCATAATATTGAATTGGTTAAATAGATTATTGCATTTTTCTCTAATTCAAAATTTCACTAACTGATATTTATTCTGATACTACATGGTATGATGTCATCAAGCATTGGGACAAGTGCTATTTCAGGATTAATGTGTTTAGCTAACATTTTATTTGAAAGTTTATGTTAATTTTGTTATTCTAGATTAATTTTTGTTTTAGGACTTAATCGACCAACTAACTGAACTGTCAAATTGTTATACATATTTTTAAATTTAATTAAATAAATTATAATACTTAGTGTTTTAGAACAAAGAATTTTATTTATTAAATACAACAATAATTTCATTTTAGTTCTTAAAAGTCATCATCCAAAGTTGATTCTAGATCTGATTATTATTATTATTATTAAATTTAATTAATATCCATTGTTCTCATTTTTCTATGAATATAACTCTTTAATTTATCATATAATGTTATTGCTAATAAATACATTGAATGTAAAGATGGTTCTTATTTACTTAATTATTGATAAGGCATAGAATATAATTTATTTTAATAGAACCAATATACTAACAATATAATTATTATTACATCTACTAGATTTATATTTGGCTTAACTATCAGTTTATCCATGTTTTTTATTTACCCAAGATAATTAATGTGGAATCTTACTTAAAATTTCTGTTAATTCAATCATATCTGCATTCTATACCTTATCTTACCAAATTTTTCTTTTTTCTGCAGATGTCCAACAACTCTTCCAATAATTTAATTCATATTCTGAATAATCTTTTTCCAATGCTAAAAGAATTTACCTTACAATATTTATATCACAATTCTAAAATAATTCAATAGTCATTGAATCTTGACTAATTTATTCAATTCCATAAGTATTATCAAGTGCTATTGGATCTAATTTACATTCATCTAAACTAAAATATCCTTCATTCACTAAATTCTTAATTTATGCATTTTTCTTTTATTATTGACTAATTAATTCTATCATTTCTGCACCTTTAATCATTTACCAATCTTATTCATTGTTTTCTTAATAGATACATCTTTTCTCTTCTTAAAATACCTAAAAAGTCATAAATTTAAGTACATAAATATTATCAGAGATCTTTTCTATGGCTTAATTATAAAATAATTAGCTATTAACAACTGCTGATGCTTTTGTATATAAATTTATTTCTTCTTATAATCCTGCTATAATTTGAAGAGTCTTAACTTATTCTTTTTATTTCTTTTTAGCCACTTTTCCAACTGATTATTATAGTCTTTTTATATCTGCTTCTTTCTTTGCAAATTCTTTCTTCCAATCATTATTTGATAATATTTCTTATATCTTTATTCTTTAATCAATCTCCTAAATCAAAAATTCTGATTCATAAAAGATTGTATCTATGATAAATAATATAAGTTTTTATTTATCTAATGCAAGCCAATTTTTAAATTGCTCTTACTATAAATGTTCTTTAAATTATTAGTATTCTAATTCTATTTCATCTTTTATATAAGCTCTAATCCTATATATACGTGTAATTAATGTAAATATTGTAGGCCAAATGTTCATTAATATTGATCGACGAATAAATTAACTAAAATATTAATTACATCATACTTTTTGATTTATCCTATTACATTCAAGAAAGCTGAATTAGTTTATGTTGATGCCTATACTAAATATGTTAAACAAAATTTATCCATTAATCCTATCACTAATTAATAGGCTAAAGATGAATTCTCATTAGATTCCTATAAATCTCTTTAAATATACAATTTACAAAACTTTCATGTAATTATTCAACTGTATAGCGAGTTCGTAAATTCAATTGAGAAGCAAATCTACGGCAAAATTCATAAATTTAAAGAGTGTTCACCAGAGACATATTTTAATTATTAATTATTACATTTTTCGTAAATAAATTGCGGGGAATAAAAAATGAATATTTGATTTCAATTATTATTATTCTGTTTAATTTCTATTCTCATATTATTATATCTAAAAATATAGATATATATAGATACAAATAAAATGATATTGATATTTTTATTTTATACTAATAATTTATTTAATACAGTATAGATTAGTCTATAAAGTTATATGAATTACTATTGATATTATTTAATACAAATTATATGAAAATTTTTGATATTATTGAATTAATTATTTATTATATAAAATAACCCTAATATGATAGATAGCTTTAATTATTTGTTTAAGGTCATTGTCATAGGTGATTCTGGAGTAGGTAAGACTAATCTATTGTTGAGATTTGTTAATCATACCTTTTATAATGATTTAAAATCAACAATAGGAGTTTAATTTTTCACTAAAGTTATCTCGATTAAGAATGAACACATAAAACTTTAATTATGGGATACAGCAGGATAAGAGAGATATAGATCTATTAGCACTTCTTATTATAAAGGTTCTCATGGTGTCATAATATGCTTTGATCTTACTCATCAAGAATCTCTCGATAATGTAGTTAAGTGGTATGAAGAAGTAAAATAATAAGCTGACTTAAATGTCAAAATAATTCTAATCGGAAATAAATTGGATTTAAATCAGTAAAGAGTAGTTGGAAGTGATACAGCTTAATAAGTTGCAAAATAAATAGGTGCTGGATATATTGAGACATCTGCTTTAACTGCTTAGAATGTAGACAAAGCATTTGAACTATTAATTTAAGGTTTTTATATATTAATATTAATATAGAGATCCATATGTAATTAAAACAATTAAAGTAAGACTAATAGAGTCAAAAGATTACAACAGAAAATGCTATTGTATTAACAAATACTAAAGAAACAAATACTTCTCAAAAAAGAAATACTTAATGTTGTTGAATTGATTATATATAATATAAGTTTAGAAATATTATCAGTAATAAATTTTATTATATTTACAAATTAATGAGATAAAATAAGTTAAATAAATAATCACCTTCATTAAATACTAAATAGAAATAATATATTGAATAAATATCATACAACTGCATCTTAGACAAGATTAAATTTATATAAATTGGAATAAATGAAGCTATGAGAAATAATAATTTAACACATATTTAATAGCATTTGAATTAGTATCAATAAGATTTATAATTAATATAAGAATTTTTAACATAAAATGAATATACTAAGGTTATTAAAGAATTAGAATAAATAAAAGAATAGAAAAAATAATTATCTGTTAAACTTGAAGCTCTAGAATTATAAAATTTACTTAGAGATAAAGATCCAGAATATTTGGCAGCTTAAGTTTAAGCTTTGATTGAATAAAATAAAAAATTATCAGAAAAAGTTTAAAAATTTAGATTAATTGCAGAATAGGCATAAGAATAAGCTTTAGAATCTCTAGAAATCTCTAATTTAAATTAAGCTTTATTTCAATAGATAAAATATGATTCAGATAATCCTAAACAATCTAATCATGTTTGTTCAAATAGTAATGGGAATTTAGAAGTAGTTTAATTACAATTAGATGAAAAAGTTTAAGAAATAGAAATGCTAAAATTATAATTGGAAGAGTTAGCTTAATTATAATAAAAATAATATAATGATTATTAAGAAGAATTAGAACATTAGAAAATGTGGATTAATTAACTTTCTAATAAATTATAACTATATGAATCTTAAGCAGATTAATAAAGAAATAGATATGAAGAAAAAATTATTGAATTAGAAAATAAAATTTAATAATATGAAAGTTTTGATGAAAATTAAACTTAAGAATTGTTATAATCTTTGGTTGATTAAAAATGATAATGTTAACTATATATCTATAATAAATTACTTAATCTAATTTTTAAAGTATTATTTTATTAATTTTATAAATAAAATGGGAGGAAGAAGAAAATCTAATAGAATGCCTAAAAAAGAAAAAGTTTAAGCAATTAAAACTATATTTGATTGTGCACTTTGTGGTTATAAAAACTGTGTAATTGTTAAAATGTAAAAATAAAAAAAAGAAATAGAAAAAAAGTTATTAAGATTGCAGAATTAAATTGTGATAAATGTTAAACTTCTTTTACAACTAAAATCAAAGGATTAGATGAAGCTATTGATGTATTTCATAAATGGTTGGCTGAATTGAAATAAAAGAAACTTACAAAAGAATAACCAGAAAATAGATTTGATGATAATTCAAGTGGTGATGAAGGTGCTGGAAGAAATGTAGAAGGTAAAAAATTATTATATAGTTTTAATTTAGAAATACTTAAGGACAATGGAGATGCTGATAATAAATCATAATTTAGTGCTGATTCATTAGATGAAAAAAATCCATAATAAACCAATAATAATAATGAGAAAAACACTAAAGGCAAACTTAAGAAACAACACTCAGATGATGGAAACAATAATGAAGAGGATGACGACGATGATGACGATGATATTTCAGATGAATCTAAATTAGATTCTGAAAGAATTTCTGACATTGATAGTTTACTAAGTGATGCAGACGACGCTGAGGAAATTATAAAGAAATTTAGAAAACGTTGATTTTATATCATAATGTTTAAAATGTCTAAAAGAACAATTTCCATCTTATTTTCATTCTTTTTTATGCTAATTTATTAGTACAATATATATTTAGAGAATTTCAAAATTTATAATTGAGTAAATTTTTTAAAAGATACAGAATAAAATACTTTCTCATTTTTCATATAGGATTTATTATTTATAAATCACTTGACTTATTTCACCAATTATTTAAAAATAATTCTCTAAATCTAATAATTTAGACAATTTATATAAATTATTTTATTTTTAATAAATTATAGTTATTATGCAACAAGAAGAGGGAGTAAATTGTTTTTGCTTTTAGAAAAAAAATAAAGGAGTTCTCCCTAAAACCTTTAAAAAAACTAATGAAATACTTCGCAAATATAAAAATAATTTTTTAGATGTAAATTATAATACAAATACTAGATATCTGATTCTGATATTTTAGAAGTTATTATTAGATTGTATGTTTCAGAAGATAAATAAAAGGCAATTTCGATGTTATCTCGTTGTCGTATTAATCCAAATTTTTAATCAAATAATTTAAGAGAAGATCTTGAATATTTCATACCTTAAATGGTTAATTTTATGGTATTCCATCAATAATTATCAGATGAAAATTTAAAATAATTTGTTTTAAAAGCATCTTCATTAGATTTCTTTTTTGCACATTTGGTTTATTTTTAGATGAAAAGCTTATCTTAAATTATAACTCCTCATGAAACAGTCACAATTAATGTTGTTAAGAAATTTCTTGAATATTTCTTATTTTCAATGGCCCAAAATTATTCAGGCAATTTATTAATTGCAACTCACATTCTTTAAATGAACTTAGAACTAAGTAACCTAAAAGGTGATAATTCAGATTCAGATGAAAATTCTCCAAAAAAATCATAATTATAAGCTGTTTATTAAGGAACTACTAAATAATAATCAATGAAAGTTAATGAAGCAATTTAAAATTATGGCACAGCTGATTGGATTAAATATTAGAATTCTCATCCTTATGATAATAGAGTAAAAAACCATAAAGAAATAGAGCTTTAAGATTATGAATCAATATTTAATTTAGAAAAAAACGAAAAAACTTTAGATACAGCATTTATATCAAATATTTTATTTTGGAATGATATAATGAGAATTTGTGATGAATTATCAAAAGTTTAAACTAAAAAAACAGAAGTTTTATAAGCTTGTTTATAAAAAATGAATAAAAATTTACCTGCCTCTGTTTATGTTCCATTTGTAAATAATCAAGTAAGAAATTATGCCATTTTAAAAATTGTTCCTAAAGAAAGCAGAGTATTTTCTACTAAAATGAGAAGTCCCTTTAGTTTAACATTAGAATTATATAGACCAGAAATTGAAGGTTAAAGCAATCATAAATTTATTGAAAAAAAGATTTCTCGTCCAATTACTATGAGTGTAATATTTTATGTTTACAATTTTAGTAATATAATCTATTGCAAAGAACTTAGAGTTAACTATTTAATGAAGATCATTCTATTATAGAAAATAGAAGAACATTTTCATCTACAGATGCATAAAAATAAATATAGAATGATTTTTAATAAATCAAATTCTTTTAAATGAACCCTTAAGTTCATCATCCAGTAATATAAGGTACATCTCAATTTTATCATTAACATCCAACTGATGAAAATGAAGAAGAATAAATTGATTAATAAAAATTGAAACCTGAAATATCATCTACTTATTCTTTAGAAGAAAATGTATAGGCTTTTAGTATAGATGAAGAATCAAGTATTACATAAGAAAAAAATGGTGAAGGGAATTGGTTTACAAGTATTATTGGAAAAAATAGCTTCATTCAACCAAATAGAGGTTTAGTCTTAACAACTCAAGAACATTTAGAAATGAAATAAGCAATTTTTGGTGAAAATTCACTTGATTAATTTGAAAGAATTAAATCTTAATCAATTTTTTCATAACTATAAACCTGGAATATAATTCATTTAATTATAAAAACAGGTGACAATCTAAAATAAGAGTAATTTGCATTATAATTAATCTCTTAATTTGATTAAATATTTAAAAAGGAAGGTTTACCTTTAAAATTAAGATACTATGAAGTTCTTTCAATGGGTCCTGATTGTGGTATTATTGAAATGATTAAAAATGCAACTACTATTGATAGTTTATAAAAACATTTAAGAAAAGATTATACTCAATTCAAGAATTTTTCTGATTTTTTTAGAAGTTTTTTTAGACATAAAATTGATTAAGCCTTAGAGAATTATGTTTAATCTTTAGTAGCATATGGATTAGTGTGTTATTTTTTATAAGTTAAAGATAGACATAATGGAAATATATTATTAGATAGTGAAGGACATTTGATACATATAGATTTTGGTTTCTTTTTATCTATAGCTCCAGGGAAAGGTGTGGAGTTTGAAAAAAATGTGCCATTTAAATTATTATCTGATTATATTGAAGTATTAGGAGGAGTATAAGGGAATCTATTTAAAGAAAATTTTAGAAAATTATTTTTTTAGTATTAAATTATTTAAAATTTTAGAGGATTTAAAGCATGTTAAAAACATTAAAAAGAGATTCTACTTCTTGCTGAAATGATGTATACAGGACATGGAACAACTCTACCTTGTTTTTCAAAGGGAGAATAAACTTTAAAAGAATTATAATTAAGATTTAATCCAAAAGTATAGTCATCAGCTGAATTATATGTTCATGTATAAGAACTTATTGATAAATCATTGGATAATTGGAGAGCTAGATGGTATATAATAAGAAATATTTTAGGTATGATAAATTTTAGTATTTTGCATAAGGAATATTTTATTGATAATTTTGAATTTATTTATTTTATGTTTCATAAATTTTGACATACATCATGTTCATTTGATTTTTTAGTTCAAATATTAAATTAAGTTAATTCTATTTAGATATTAATAAATATCTATATATAATACTTAATTAAACACATATCATTTTGTTTTATAACAATTAAGTATTTGTATATATTAAGTTAATCAGGTTTTCTATAAATATTTCATTATGTAATTCAAAATATTTTAAAATGAATTGTTATAAAATTGGGTAACTTTTTTGTGAAATATAAATAAGCAATTAAAATGACATATTGAAAGATACATTTAAATAGATTCATGTTTAAGAAAATGTTGAAATAAGTGGTGAATGTACCTTTATAAAAAACTAAAAATATGAACAGTGAGTTTACCTAATTGTATTAAGTTAGATTAATACATATTAATTAATGAATAAAATATAATTCAACTCTTTACAGGTAAAACAAACTAAATTAGAGTTTACAATTCCAAAACTACCATTGAATTATATTGTAAAATAAGTTCATCGTTTAAAATGTGTAATATAGAGTAGAATAGATGTTGAACTTCTATTGGATTAGATAAATTTTATTATTGAATTGCTAATTGCGGGATAAGTATATTTAATATAAGAATTGTAGTTTGGGACTCCTTCATTGACTTATTTAAATGAATTACGTAACACATTAAAATCCACAATAAATTCGTTTGACCAAGATTAATTAGGTTGCGTTTTAGCAAATATGGAGACGTTGAAAAAGTAGACAAGTTTAGATTATCTTAAAGGATTTAAAAAGGGTAGTTCTAGAAATTTAAAAATTGCTAATTAACTTTAGAAGTATTCAATATTTAATTATAATTGTAGAATCTAGAAAAGAGTACTATCAGTAATAAGAAATGTTTGTGCTCAATTTGTATTGTTTTGGCTAGATGAACATTAGCCAGAATAAAGTACAGCTTTACGTAGTAAGCGTGTATTTGTTGAAACTAAAACGTAAAATAAAATAATCATTAATTAATTAAAATAGACTTATACAAAGTAAATTAAAAGAATTAGATTTATAAAAGCATAATAAAATCGTGTGTCGAATATGTGAGTAATTAATAGAAGTAGAGATTATGGCAGCTCATTGTATAACATGTGAAAGGAAAGCCGAATAAAGCAAAAAATTATTATAATTAAATTTATAATTATCAGATGCATCTTAATTAGCATATAAATTAAAACATGATGTTTAAATTAAGTTGGGTAAATTGAGTTTATAAGAGTAAAAGTAAAATAGATAGAAATTGAAGAAATAAGAGGAAGAAAAAAAACCATTAAGATCACTTAGAAGAACACATACTATTCATATAGAAGATAATAAAATCTAATAAGAGGAAGAGGAAAAAAATAAAGCTAAAAAATAATTAGCATTTATAAACTAAGTAATGACTACTATAGTAAATTATACTGAAAAGGTTTTAAATAGTAATATTAATAATGAAGATAATAAATGTAATTTTAATATCTATCTTTTTAGTAAATAGAATAACATTTGATGAATTAACAGAAGCTAAATTCAATTTAGAAAATGATTAAAATAATGAGTAAGTACTTGAAATAATAGATAAAGCTAGATCTTGTATATATGATAGAATGGAATACTTTAAAATTATTTAAAATTTAGAATCATAATAAATTTAAGAAAGTCAAAAGTTAAATTAAAATATTGAAATTGATTTAAAATAAAAATACAAGAATTCTAATTCAAGTTCATTTAGAGTATCTAAATTTACAAATATTACCACAACAACCTAATAAAAGCTTAAAAGAAATGATACAATCTATGAAGAAGATGATGATTTTGTATGTTAAACTCCAAAGAACTTAAGTAGCAATAATAAAAAGAAGAATGTTATGATTATGTCATTAATTAAGTAAATAACAATTATGATTATTAGTAAAGATAAATTTAATACAACTAATGTTGGAAGTGTAAATGATATTAATAGAAGAGATAGTTTAACAACTATGTCAATGTCTAGATCTCAAGTACTCGGAAGTAATTAAATCAAAAGAACTTTTTTATCTAAAAACAATTCCGATGAGCAACCTTAATAACAATCTAATCCAGGTTCTAAAATATTAGATAAAATTGTAAATCTATCAAATTCTTCTGATACATTGATTAGTCCAAAATCTAATAAACCATCTATATTTCGAAGAGCTTAATCTCCAACTGCTGTTGATTCTGTTATTGAATCTTCTAATTAATCTCCTACTGGAAGAATGGGATCATCTGATTTTTAAGATGAAACTCCTAGAAATTAGAAGATCTGTTCTTTTGCAGATTTTGCTTAATGTGATTCTGATTAAGAAATTCCAATGAAAAAATAGTTGGTTCCATCAATTGGACTAGGTAGATAAGTAGATTCAATTGAAGATATTTAAAAAGACAAAGAAATAAATGCAATAAATTCATTTGAAAATATTAATTAATGTGAATCTGATCAAGAAATTAATTAAATCTAGAATTCTAATCCTAACTCCAATCAAGAAATGAAAAAGTCTACATAAAACAGTATGAAGAATAGTGATAAAAATATGATGATGAAAGGCAGTAGAAAATTACCATTACAGATAAATTAATAAGATTAACAAAAACCTTTACATATTGAATTAGGAGCAAGAATAGAATCAGAATTAATAATTGAAGAATCTCCAAATTCTAATTAAGGATAAAAAATAGATCCATAAGATTTGAGTCCAAATCATTCTTCTTCTAGTGCAAAATAAGCTATTTTTAAATAGGATAAAATTGATTAAGATATAGATTTTGATAATTCTTTGAATAGACCTAAAAAAAGCTTATTTTATCCTTAAAATTCAATCAATAATAATATGAAATAAAGTATGGCAGTTGCTCCATAAAAATCTAAATAATCATATGATTTTGAAGTAATAACAGTTGATAGAGGTTATAATTCAGATTCTGAACTAGTGAGTATAAATGCTGAAAAAACTAATTAATCTTCAGAGATTGGTTTGAAAGATTTTGAATTTATCAAACCTTTAGGACAAGGAGCATTTGGATGGGTATTTTTGGTGAAAAAGAAAACTTCTGGGGATTTATATGCAATGAAAATAATTGATTGTTCTTAAAAAGTAAATTTTAAATGCATTATTAAAAGTAATTAGAAACTTAGCTTGATACTTTAAAAGCAGAAAGAAACATATTTGAAATTTTATCTGGAGACTTTGTAGTTAAAGCATACTATTCATTCAGTCATGAATAAAATTTATGCTTTGTCTAAGAATATATGGTTGGAGGAGATTTCTCACATATTCTAAAAATGTATACGGTATAAGATATTATTATATTAAGGCTCTAGATGAGGAATACGTCAGACATTATATAGCTGAAGTCGTATTGGCTTTAGAATATTTGAGATCTAAAAAGATTGTTCATAGAGATTTAAAACCAGATAATATTTTATTAGATAAATAAGGTCATGCTAAATTGGCTGATTTTGGATTATCAGAGGTTGGCTTTAATAATAGATTAAAATTAAAATTAAGATAATAGGACATTGAAGCGTAAGATAATATCTTTATATTAAGAAACACTATTCCTGAATTTGCTGATCATAATGATCCATAATATGATACTATTTTTGATCTAAAATTACCTTAAGCTTAACAAAATATTAGAGCAAGTATTCAAAATTATAGTAGTAAAAATAAAAGAATTGTTGGAACTCCTGATTATATTGCTCCAGAAGTCTTAAAAGGAGAATCCTTAACAAATAGCAGTTTAGATTATTGGAGTTTGGGAGTCATAATGTATGAAATGCTTTGTGGAATTCCACCATTCAATGATGATTCTGTTGAGAAGATTTTTGATAATATTTTGAATTATAGAATTGAATGGCCAAATGTAAGTGATGTTGAAGAAGAAAGCATATCCCATAATGCTTATGATTTAATGTGTAGATTATTGGAACCAGATTATACTAAAAGAATTGGACATTAAGATATTAATGAAATAAAAAATCATCCATATTTTGAAGGTATTAATTGGAATAAGATACTTTCTATGCCTGGTTTAATTGTACCTAAGATGGTCTTAAAGGAAACAGAAGCTGATGGCAAAAATTGTGAAAAAGTCTAATAGTTCTTAAATAATTTAGAAAAGAAGGAAGTTAAAAATTAAACTTTAGCATAAAAGTTAAAAAGTTAACTATCCAACTTAGAAAGATTAGATTTATTAGTTAAATTAAGTTTAGAAGAAGCAAATGATAAACTGTAATAATTAGTATTTATTAATAGTTCTAAAATAAGGACAGAAGAAAACAAATTAAAAAGAACCTTAAACAAAATTGATCATTATGAATAAGAACATTAAGTTTAAATGTTACTTTTGTATGAAGATGTTTTCTGAATTTAACTTCTTGTATTTTAATATTATCAATAAATATTTATTATTATTAAACAAATGCCCTTCAATATATTTAACTCTTTTTTTGAGTAAAAACTTTTTATTTTATAATCTATTCTATATATATAAAATAATACAGAAGAGTTTAGTGGATTAAAATTATTTGGTTTTGGATTATATAAACTTGTTGAATCTCTAGGTCTCATTTAACTTGCTTTCTATAATTGGGAATTATTCAAATTGTAATCAATAGTAGCAAGATTTCTAAAACTACTTGCACCTTAATGTCTTTCAGTCAATTAATAATCATTTTTAACAGAAATTCTATTACCTTATTCATATTCTGCAATCTAAAAAAATTAAATATAATAATTTTACTTTTAAAATTAATTCATTATTTTTATTTTAATATTCTTCTTTCAAAGTTATTTATCTCAATAATTCTTATTTTACTATACTTAATTAATTCTATAACTCAATCAAAAATTGTTAATTACTAAATTAATGAAATATATATATACTCATCTTATTTAGATTATTAAATTTTATTAATTTCTTAATTTTATATTTATTCCTATTAATTTGCAATAAAATTAGATAATTATTAAATTTCATTATCTTTTTTATAAATAATTTCTTAAACTTCCATTATTTTTTTATTAAATTATTCATGAAGTTATTTATTTTCAATTTTTTTTTCTTCATCAAATTATTTTAATGCATTTTCTAATTTATTACAATGTTACATTAATTAAGACATTTTTTCTTGTAATACAATATTATCTTAAATTTATATTTGATTTTCTTAAAAATTTGTTTAATATTATTCTAATTTTACTGAATATGTTTGTATATTTTCATTAAGTTTTTTTACTTCATCATTCTTTTGTCTTATCAAATCTGATAATCTTTTGATTTCTCTTTACATTTCATCATTCTAAATCTAGATTTATTTACATGTATTTTTGCAAATTAAATTTTCTTATTCACTTGTTTATAATTTGAATTATAATTCCTATTATAATTATTAAATTTATTAATTATATTTTGTTTCTTAACTTTTTATTTTAAATTCATAATCTTATTTGCTTAATTCAAATTCTCCCCATTATCTTTTTATTTAATTTTCTGATTCATTTAATTTATTCTTTAATTCACTAATAATTTTTTATGAATCATTTTTCATTTTATCCCTTTATTCATATTAATTAATAATTTATTAATATTATTTTATTTCTTCTTAAGATTTACTATTCTCTTTAATTTTATATTCTAACTCATCAACTTAAGATTATAATTCATATAATTATGTTCTCATTTTTGTATTTTCATATTTCATTTTTTCATTTGCAGATATTAATTCTTCTACATTTTTCTTTTATAAATTTAATTATTTTTCTAAATATTACATATCATCTGTTTTTAATTATAATTATAATTCTAATTGTTAAATTTTAAATAAATCTTCATCCTTACTTACTTCAACAGTTTCTTTAACAATTTTAATTTAAGATTATAACTTTTATAATTCTAAATTATTTTATTCTAAATTTCTAATTTTCTATTCTAATTATTAAATCTTCAGAAAATCAGAACTAGATGATCTTTTAAGTGATTCACTTTATTAATTCAATTAGAAATTCAATTTTTTATTTTCCTCTCTCAACATGGTTATTTATAATTAAAGTTCTTAAATTTATTCTAAATCTTAATTGATTATAACTGATTTTTTAAGTTGTTCAGAATATTAAATTTATAACTTTAAATTTTCCTCTTATAATTATTAAATCATTTTTTCTAATTATTGAATTCTTTATAAATCTAATTTTGAAGAAACTTCTACATACTCTGTTATTGTTGATTATTTCTTTTTACAAACTTCCTCATAATCTTGTCTTAAAATTATTAATTATCTTTCTAACTCTTTAATTCTATTTTTATCAACTTCAGATTAAACCTCAACATAATTACGCTTTTGATTATTTAATATCATATATTCTGCTTATAATTATTGTAATTCTTATCTTAACTATTTAATTAATATTTAATCACCTTCTGATGGAACTTCAATAACTTCTTTAACAACTTCCTTCAATACTTATTATTTCATTGAATTCAATTAAAAATATTGTTCTTTTAGTATTTTTACTTATTCTTCTAATTATCTTATTTTAATTTTATCTTCTTCCAATCCTTTATTTTATTCTTATTTTATAATTTAAGTATTATATTGATTTTAAAGACTGATATATTATTAATTTACTATGACATATTCTTATTAAAGATTTGATAAAGATTGCTCTAATTAAATAATTCTATCTTTATCCTATTGATTTTCAACTTAAACATATTCTTTGATAACTTCATTTTTCTTCTAATTTAATAAAGCATAATCTTTTTAAAAATTCTCTACTTGTAATTCTAATTGTTATATTCTGTTTTTATCTTATTTTTATTATTTTGATATTAACATTTCTCTTTCTGAAAATTTTAGTTTTTCAATTTCAATTTGTGTTTCAAGATCAAAACATTATGTAGATTTAATGTTTAATTAAGCTTCTTATTCTTTAACTTTAATTTATAATTAATCTAATTAAAATTACATTTATTAAATTTAATTTTCTTTTTCCTCATAATTTATGTATTATATTTCTTCTATTTTTTAAATATATTTTGTGATTGTCTCTTTATAATGTTATTCTTTTTAATATAATGAATGCATTATATTCTATTATTCTTCTACTAAAGCTTCTAATTTATGAATAGTTTTTTAATCATATTCATTTTAAGTTTTATAACTAAGATATTAACTAATTTAATTTCTTAGTTCCTGATATTTGTATCTCATATCTTCATTTTATGTCTGTTATTCATAAAATTTTTCTTACCAAAGTTTTGTTTAGATATCATGTTCTTTCATTTATTATTCCATTTATCTAATATCTCTTTTTAATTTTTCTATTTATGCTTCATAATTATTAACTTCTAATTATGTTTAAAATTTAATTCTACTCTCTTCATAAGATTAAGGTTTACAATTTATTTCATTTTATAACAATACATATTTCTCATTAATACTTTTAATTTCAATTTAAAAACGATGTTCTTAATCTTTTAATCTCTTTGTATATTGCTCTTCTGAATATTATAATTCATCTTTTAATCTTTAAATCTCTTCTAATTAAGAATTAATCTATAATATTGATTATTCTTCTTTTAAATTTGATTTTTTATTTCTTTAATATTCATTTTCTTAAAGTTCTAATTACAATTATTCTATTTACTATTTTAATTTAGAAATTTCATTTTTATATTATTGATTTTCAACTTTTTATGAATTTAAAGTTTAATTTTAAAATTACTCTAATTTTTATTTCATATTGTGTTATTCATAAATTAATTATGATTCACTTTGTTATTTTAATTATAATTCTGCTTTTAAACTTGAAATCTATTTAGTTTATTAGTTAATCTATTCTTTCAATTAGGATATATTATCAAGATTAATCTATGATTCTTCATATTTACTTTTATATATTAATTATTAATTTTCTTTTTCTAAAATAATTATTTTGTTTGATAATTCATTCTTCATTATTTCTAAATTATTATACCTTTATTGCCATCCTGAAATCTCTGCAGACAACAACTAGTTTTAACTTCTTAGTTAATCAATATCAGATTTGAATTATTATTTTTATTCATTTAATGCTTTTTCTAATTTTTCTTAACTACTATTATAATCTTCAATCAATATTTAAATATCTTCTTCCATCTCTTTTATTTTTCTCTAATATTATGATACATTCATATCTGTTATTTCAATAGTTTAAGTTAAACGGTTTTCTTTGAATAATTTAAGTTCTGATTCTAAAATCTGCTTTTATTTGTTTAACTCATTAATTTACTATTACAAATTTAAATTATCTATAAAATTGCTGTCATAAAATACCTTATTAAATCTTTTATACTTGTCTATCAGTTTATTATTGAGATCCAAATTGGTTTCTAATTCTTGAGAGTTCCTATTAAGCAGCTGATAACTCAACATTCATTAGTAATTATTTTTATTTTAACTCATTATTTTCTATTTGGAATGATTTAAGTAACAAATTCTCTTTATTCAATTGTTCACATAAATCTCTATAATGAGATAACTCTTATTTTTATTCTTCTCTTTTTCGTTATTCTGAAGGTCTTTCATCATACTAAGAAGATTTTCTACCACTACTTGGTAAAATGTCATTCCCATTAATACTGGTTGACTAGTATAAATAATTACTTTATTATGTATTTCTCATTGACATTTGCAATAGGATTCAGAAGTTACTATTACATAAATATATATTATTTATTTATGTTATAATATCAATTTACTATAATTCATGTTAATTCAAATCCTGTATTTGAACTAATAGCTTAAACTAATTTTTCTCTTAGTATGTCTTTATTTTTATAGTCAGGCAATTTTAGAATATTAAAACAAGTAGAAGCAGTTGGTAATTTCTATATTTCATTTGGATGTTAAATTGGCACTTTTTAAATCATAAAAGGAGGTTCTAAACTTTTAAAACCCTATATTATAAATAATTAAATATACTTAAGTAGGAGCTCTAGAGCAAGAAGAAAAGAAGAACAAAAATTAACTCTGTTGTTCATATTCGAAATCATTTACAACACTCCAAAGATCTTGGATTGTCTTATCTTAAGGTAAATACCCTTGGTATTTTGTATTAGAAATCAAATCTTAAATATCAATAACTGGCTATCCTGATATTAATAATTATAATTCCTGATTAGTAAATAATTTGAATTACTCAGGATCTATCACTTATTCAAGTCCTTCCCTAAATATTTAACTTTATTCTTTTATCTATACTATTTTTATTATACTTTACCTATTTATTTAATCTAAAATGGCAATACAAATTTATGTATTATATTTTATTATCATTAGTCACATTTATCTATCTCCCATTTGGTATTAAATCAAATTCTATTATCTATCCATAAAACTCTTAAGTAATTGAAAAAGTTAATCCAAAATCAGTTACATCTTGATTCTTTAGATTACAAATTCTATGATATTATTCTGAATCATAAAATCGAAAATCATTAATTGTATTTGTTATTCCTAAAACCTAATTTAAAAACACTTAATTTAAGACTTTCTCAATAAGAACTCCTTCATATATAGCTTTACCTATTATTTTACCAATAAATGCATATTTTCTAATTTTATAATAAATTATACTGTTTTTCTTCCTTCATAAAAGCAGGATTAGGAATCAAAGTCTTTTCTGGAGTCTCAATGAATAAACCAAATGCTGGATCCAATGCTTAATTAGTTACTCTTGTTATAAATTCTTTTGTCACTCCTCCAGCATCAATTCCATCTTCTGGTATACCCATTTGATTTACAAATTACACATGAAACATATTCTTTAATTATTTTTTCTCTAATTAATCAAATGCATCCTAAAATTCTTATCCTCTCCTAATAACAATCTTCATATTTTATTTAACAATTGGTTCTCCAAATTCATCATAGGTAATTAAAGCTAATATATTTCTATTGAATTAATTTTTATCTTCTAGCAAATATTAATTAAACTTTTAAATTCTTTGTGAAAACAATGAAAAAATAGGTAGATGATTATTTATTTTCATTTTTTCATATTTCCATTCATAAAAATTTAAAATCTAATTTCTATCAAATATTTCTCTTATAAATAATTTAAGTTCCTTATAAATGTGTTAATTAATATCATTTTATATACAAATCTTTGTATATTAAATGATAAATCCAAATATCTCAATAAATTCTTTCTTTACTATTTCATTCTTAAGAGCAATATTTTAAAATTCTTTATCATCCAATAATTAGAATTCATAAGCCTTAACATAACAATACACAGATATAGATTCAGGAGGAATCCTTTCAAAATCTTTTAAATTAGATAAATAAAGTAAATATTTAGTTAAATAATTATCTATGTATCTTAATTTTTACATCTATTATATAATTTCTAATTTTCTATTTTATCCAATATTTATTAAATAGTATATAAATTTACTTATTTAACTTTAGTCTGTCAATTATTAATTTTCTAATAAACTTAAAAGTTTTTAAAAATTTAATTAATCTATAAATTAGATAAATTCTTTTTTTTTTCTTAATATTTTTAATTTTTTATGTTCTGAATTATTTAGATATTATAAATTTTTAAAATCTGAAAGTAAATTCATTTTATAATAATTCTATTCTAAAACCTGCAATAATTAGGTTAGGATTTCAAATAATTATTCACTATTTAGAATTTTTAAAGTTTGTAACTTATTAAACAATTTTCTTATATATTATATTTCTTATTCAGAAGTAAATACAATTGAAATAAGCTAATTATATTACTTAGATTTTTTAATATGATTCATCAATTCACAAAAATCAAATGAATTGTTTTATTCTATTAACATCACATAATTAAACCCTAAATCCCAAACTTCTTATTCATTTCTTTTCAAATTTAAATAGTAAAATATAAATATTTCAAATCCTTTCTATACTATTAATTATGGCAAATTATATTATAAGATTTAAGTCTCTAATCTTTAGAATTAACCATAAAATAAATCTAAAATAATAATAGTTTCTACCTATCTAATTAGCATTTAGTAATTAATGAATTGAAATCAATATTTCATTCATAGATTTAATAAAATTACTAGCTTATTTTNAATCAAATGCATCCTAAAATTCTTATCCTCTCCTAATAACAATCTTCATATTTTATTTAACAATTGGTTCTCCAAATTCATCATAGGTAATTAAAGCTAATATATTTCTATTGAATTAATTTTTATCTTCTAGCAAATATTAATTAAACTTTTAAATTCTTTGTGAAAACAATGAAAAAATAGGTAGATGATTATTTATTTTCATTTTTTCATATTTCCATTCATAAAAATTTAAAATCTAATTTCTATCAAATATTTCTCTTATAAATAATTTAAGTTCCTTATAAATGTGTTAATTAATATCATTTTATATACAAATCTTTGTATATTAAATGATAAATCCAAATATCTCAATAAATTCTTTCTTTACTATTTCATTCTTAAGAGCAATATTTTAAAATTCTTTATCATCCAATAATTAGAATTCATAAGCCTTAACATAACAATACACAGATATAGATTCAGGAGGAATCCTTTCAAAATCTTTTAAATTAGATAAATAAAGTAAATATTTAGTTAAATAATTATCTATGTATCTTAATTTTTACATCTATTATATAATTTCTAATTTTCTATTTTATCCAATATTTATTAAATAGTATATAAATTTACTTATTTAACTTTAGTCTGTCAATTATTAATTTTCTAATAAACTTAAAAGTTTTTAAAAATTTAATTAATCTATAAATTAGATAAATTCTTTTTTTTTTCTTAATATTTTTAATTTTTTATGTTCTGAATTATTTAGATATTATAAATTTTTAAAATCTGAAAGTAAATTCATTTTATAATAATTCTATTCTAAAACCTGCAATAATTAGGTTAGGATTTCAAATAATTATTCACTATTTAGAATTTTTAAAGTTTGTAACTTATTAAACAATTTTCTTATATATTATATTTCTTATTCAGAAGTAAATACAATTGAAATAAGCTAATTATATTACTTAGATTTTTTAATATGATTCATCAATTCACAAAAATCAAATGAATTGTTTTATTCTATTAACATCACATAATTAAACCCTAAATCCCAAACTTCTTATTCATTTCTTTTCAAATTTAAATAGTAAAATATAAATATTTCAAATCCTTTCTATACTATTAATTATGGCAAATTATATTATAAGATTTAAGTCTCTAATCTTTAGAATTAACCATAAAATAAATCTAAAATAATAATAGTTTCTACCTATCTAATTAGCATTTAGTAATTAATGAATTGAAATCAATATTTCATTCATAGATTTAATAAAATTACTAGCTTATTTTGATGTTTGAATCAAATAAAACCCAAGTAATATGGCTTTGGAAAACTAAAAATATATTTATTTATTAGTACATGCAGTCTATTTATTAAAAATTGGTTTCCCTTAAATAAATTAATAACAAAGTTATTCTACTAAATTTACAAGCATCCACTAAATAGTTGAAGCATATTTAAAACATATGTTTCATTGTTTAAGACATTCTTTTTATTTAAAAGAAAAAAGGGTTTTAAAAATTCTGGACATTTATTTAGTGTTATGTTGCAGACCTTGTAAAATGTTTGCTAATATAATATTTATAAATACCAAATCTTTCATAAATTAAACTGATAGAGCTGTTTAGATTTTTGGTAAATACTATTAAATTATCGATTGTTTTAAATCATTGCAAATTTTTGTATTTTTATAAAATATAAAAATTTTAGATGCCATTTCAATTTTTTTCCTTTCCAACTCTCTAGATTACTTCTCTTCTTTTTTCTATTGCAAGAAGCTTTATTTATTGAATTTACTTATCATTAATTTATAAAAATTATATATCAAAATATAATCAAATATATATATATATTATTAAATTCATAAGTAAATCAATTCTAGTTTACTATAAAATCATAAATCAATAATAATAGTTCTTTAATTTTAGCTCTAACATCTTATTATTCTTAAATTGCACTTAATTCTTTTATATTTTATTTATATGCTTTAGTTTCAACGGCTTCCCTTATTAATTATTCATATTTCTTTCTTTTTTAATAAATTAATTATAATTAAGACATAATAATTTTAGGCCAGGTTTCTGATGATTCAGGTTCAGCAATGAATTTATTTGTAAAAAATACTAATTCAACTCTTTCTGATGGTTTTTATTATTCTATATCAAAATTAAACTTATTTTTCATAAATTCTATAAATAATTTATTTTGAGCAATTTCTTCTAAACAAAATTTTCTATTTACTAAAATGACATTGAAATTAGAAAAATGTAGAAGTTTAAGCATTAAAGGGAAAGCTTTTTAAACTTAAGTTAATCGACAAAAAAATATCTTTAGTAAAGGAGATTACATATTTTATTTTATACATATTTATCTAATATTTTTAGCTCCTATTTCATTACAATCCAAATTATTACCTATGTTTTGTTTTATTTCAAAAAGCATTGTTCCAATTTTTAAAATATTACTTCCAAATTCTTAAAATAATTTATGACTATCTACCTTATTTTATAATATAACTTTTATTTAATCTCCACAAATATTCCAAATAGATTAAAGAAATATATTAAATTTTTCATCTCTATATATTCTTAGTAATTCATCATAACATTCAGATTATTTATTTTTAATTACAATAATCATATCCTCCATTGCATTTAATATAGATTTATTTTAATATTGTTAATATTTTTAAATTATTATCTACCTAATCTTTTTAGGTACAAATTAACATAGCATAGGCAATTATAATTCTTATGAAAATTTTTGTAATTAAGGGACAGCACATATTTACTTAATTAAATCGAAATCTGGATGAATAGTTAGCATGCCCTTTTAATCAAGTATGGCAAAATCCTTACTCTTATAAGTTAACTTAATTCTTTTCAGAATTTCTGGAAAAGGAAACTATAATTCATTTAATCTCAATATTAAAATCTTAATTGTAAAATCCTCCATTTTTTCAAATCTATTAAATTCATAACCTTATTAAACATTAGAATTAATGGTTTAATGTTACTACTTTAATTTATTTTGATTTAATATAATAGCCTAAAGTGATTCTTTTGATTTTTCAAAATCTATTAATTTATTTTCCTCTATTGAATCTTATTGTAATTCAATACAAAATGAATCTTGAGAATTTTTAATTGATTGTTAATCAAGACAATCAATTTAGTTATTTAAATAAAATGACATCAACTTAATATTTTAGACTATTAAAATAAATGTTAATGATTTTTTTTTAAATGTATTATAAACATTAAATTCTTTTGCTTTATGAAACACTTTCATCATTGATTTTATTTCAGATTAAGTAAAATTATTTAATTTAATGGATCTATTTTTATTAACAAAATCTTCTAATAAAATCAATATATTTAGAATAATCTCCTCATCATCTATGGTATTAAAGTTTAAATTCTATAGATCAATATCTTAAATTTTTGGATTATAATTTGAAAGAATCTAATTTAAGGAAGTTACTAATTTAGATTTGTAATTTATTTGAGCTTTTCTTTCTGTTATTTTAATAAAGGCTAAAATTTAAGGAAAAGGAATTTTAGAAATTATTATCTATTTTAATTAGGATTTAATATTTGTAACATATTATTATTTAAATTGATTTTCTAAATTTTATTTTGTAAAATCTATTATATCATTTTCATTTTTCTATTATTTATTTTCTATTCTCAAATAATTATTCATTGTATTAATTTATAGTTATATTGAATTTTAGTTAGTTGATTGCTACTGATATTCCTGTAAAGATTGTTGATGAATGTTTTTAAGAAGTTTAGAATTCAATTTTTATTCTTTTGACATTGTTATTAATTTTAATTCTTCAATTAGTCAATCAAACTTTGGTCAAATAAAAGCATCATTTTTTATTAAACCCCTTATTATAAAAGATGGAAATTATTAGTTTCTTAGCTAAATAATATAAAATAGAATCATAAATAATTAAATAATCATTATGTATATACTTGAGATAATCATAAAGTAAAAATAATAAAAATTGTATCATAAGCACTTCATGATCTTTTATAGTTTTCAATTCATTTAAATTAATTAATATTTAAAATACTAATTATTGTATATTAAATCAACTAATTTATTAGTAATAATAAAAGTAAAATGATTTTATAAAGTATTATCTATATATTAATATAATATTAGATTTAGAAATTATTTTAATTCTACTTATCTTTGTATTTTTTAATTTTAATTAACCTAATTAATATATAATATATATTATTTTTTCATTATATAAGATAATAAGTAATTAACTTAAAATTTTTTAAAGGAATAAAAATGTATTACATTTATAATAAAGGATTTTTTTACATTAAGAAATTCCAACAAATTACTCTGAATGAAAAAATACATTTTAATAAATATTACTTAATTTGAATCTGCAATATAAACAGAAATGTTTAATTAGATATGACGTTATCTTAAGAATATATGAATATATTGAAATATTACTATATGATAATATAATAAATCTCATATAAAGACTTAAATTTATTAAAAATATATATATATAACAGTTCTTATTTTTTTAAGAAAGTATTTTTATGCTATAATATTTAATAAAGGTTTATTTTCTAGGTGTAAATTATTAGTATCTCACATTTCCTGTATCTTAATGAGTTTGAATAAATCGAGGATTATTACCTGTAAAATATTTTTAATTTTATATATGATTTTATCTGAAAGAAACAAGCCTAACATGTTATTGCATAGAAAATATAAGCAAATCTCATTATCTTAGGTTTTAAAGAAACCACTTATAATAAAATCCTTACCACCGATATTTGTTACCTCTGTTCAGAAATCACTGAAGAGCAATTAATAAAAATCAGAAAATTGTTAATCTCAAAGACTTTCTTAACCATCTATTTTAAATAAATTTAATAGCTTTGGAGCAATTGGATAATTATGTACACCTTCTGAAAAATATCCCATATAATAGCAAATAGTTTTATTGAGCAGTAAAAAATTAGACATTCGAGATAAAACAAAATAAACTAGTTATAGAAAAATAAATGTTAAACCATTATAGATTTTAACAAAGAAATGTTATACAGAGGAAGAAATTGAAATTGATAAAGTCAATAAATGGTCTTAGACTACATTTGATGAAGATTAACTACTTGAATATTTGAATAAGTGAATAAATGAATTAAAAAAACTTGATTTTTTTTGTATATGAGTTCTTTTTGTAATTATCAATTATCGATTTTTGTTATTTATTTAATGAAATTGCTAATAACTATATTTTTGTGTTTAAGTGCTTATGCTTTTACAGATTAAATGATGTCTTTAGAAGAACTAGCAAAATTTGATGTGAAAAGTGTAGATTGTACAAAGAATGATTAAATATCTTTAATTGAAAAATAAATGTAATAATGGGAAGACTTATTAAAACATTAAAAAGCTATTACTCATGATATTAAAATATTAAAATCTATGGAACATCTATTATCATAAAAATCAAGTTCATTTTTAGAAGTTTAAACCTAAATTTCTGGAAAAAAATTGATGAAAAAATTACATAAATTAGAATTGCCTTTAACTAAAAGTAAAATTGGATTAACATAAGTTTAATTATTGAAAGAATAATGCAAAGGTTTAGATTCTGAAAGTAAAAATAGATTATAAATTTAATAGATCCTGAAGAAAGAGCTTAAGCAAAAAAGGAATTATGTAAACTGTTAAAGGAATATGTTAATAATCTAAATAATTGTAAATAATAATGCACTAATTCTCCTGTTACAGTTATTAAGATTAAAGGATAGATTAAAGACTTAGAAATTATTAGAGATAATTGTTAAAATGGAAAAGTTAGTGGTGTTAAAGTTATAACAATAGATGGTGAGAATGAAGAATATAAAGTAGGACCAGATGGAACAGCTGAAAAACAATGATTATTAATAAATATTGATTAAGTGAAAGAACATTAAAGCTCTATTATTTTATTAAATGGATTATACATTTATATAAAATAGTGAGAATTTCAATTTCTATGGATTGTTCTCCTATTTCAAATTATCTTTTTAGCAAGACTTACAATTAAGTTAAATGATTCAGAAAGCTAAAGAAGAGAATACTCTTGAGAAAAGAATATGTGATCCAGAATTTTCATATAATCCAAAATTATTTAGTATCAGCAATTATCCTAAAAGTTTTAATCTAAACAATATCATAAAATATTCATAAAAAGATACTAAGTAAAAAATAATGTCTTGCAAATAATTTGGGTTATAATTTAAGGATTAATATTTTTATGTTTTAGGTTTGCGATCTTTACTATATTAACCTATAACTTTTGAGTAAAGTCTTTAATAAATGTGTATGTTCTAAAACTTAATTTAGCCAGAAGATTATATCCATGGGTAGCGTTCGATGTATTCCTCAAAAAGAAATTATTAGTATTATTTTTTAACTTTATTGATCATGTTTATTGTGAAATATATGATGGAGAATAAACTAAAATTATTCATTTTGTATAATTAGAAGTATAATATATTTGATTATTTAGAAAGTAACTTATGGATTCTAATTGGATGAAATAATAGTAACAAATAATAATAAATGCATAATCTATAGAGCTAGATATTAGGAATAAAGAAACTATATAGCTGAGGTTTTTCGTTTTGCTATTGCAAAAGATCTAGAAATAAAAGTAATGTCTCATTTTATTAATCCTAATGATTCTGATTTTAGAGCTAAAATGATAGAACAAGAAAATGTAATAATATTAAATATTTTAGAGCTTAAAAGTTGTGTAACAATCAACCTTTAAATTAATAAGAAATGATAGAGTTATTCCTCCTTCACCATTACTTACATATAAAGGTAGAATTATTGGTGATTATTTATCAACTCCATTGCATGGAAATTTTACATATTATATTAGTTTAGGTTAAAATAATATAGTTTAACATAAATATCCATAAAATTATGTTACAATAATACCTTATATGTCAGATCAATTTTATATGGAAGAAACTTAATGTTAAACATGTTTAGGATTACATGTTGGTAAATAGTTAAATTATGCTTATTTTGGTAGTTCTTAAGAAAGAGAAAACTTTTAAAATACTATAAGAGCTAGAAAAAGTGGAGTAATTAATTTAGATGTAATTTTTATTCATTTTGAAGAAGATAGTTTAGATAGATTAGTTTAATTTAAAAGAATTAAATTAAAAGAAATTAATCAAAGAATTGAATAAACAGAATAATAGTTACAATAATTATAATCTATAAAGAATGAATTAGAAATGGATGTAATAGAAGGAGAATTAAATTCAGCAGTCAAACTTAAATATAGTAGTTTAATGATTTAATCATAATCAATACTTCATGAAGTATCAGGTTTTGATTCACCTAGTTTCTTGTAATAAAAATGATAATTATAATTGTTTTAATTATTGAAGGTTACTTATTTAAATATATATATTTTGAATATAAATTTCTATAATAATATTCAGTAAAATTAAATATAATTATATTTAATAATCATTCACATTCTTCTACAATTAGCTAAATCTTATTTGAATCTGTAAAGATATCACTAATAATTTAATCTTATTTATCTTATAATGATAATCTTGGAAAATTCTAAATAAGATCTATTTTTTAATTAGGATCATTGAAACAATCATCCTCTTAACACATAGCATATTCAAATATCGACTAATAGTTAAATCAACTTTTTACTGATATTTTTTCATTAAAATGAAATCTTCTACTTTTAGTTGCATATGGAAATCTAAATAAAATTTCAATTCCTTCTTCATCATTAGGTTCATCTGGTAAGTTTGATAGTATAGTTGCTTTTTATAACAATCTAATTTCCTAACATTATATTATATTATACATTTAATTATTGTTATTCAAATAATTTATTCTTCTCTTATTATTGTAATTCTTATTTAATTCTTTTTTTCTCTGATACTTATTATTCTGCACTTCTATAAGCTTCTTATTATTATTATATTAATTATTCTCTTTCTCTTTATTTTATATCCTACTATCTTCTCTCAAATTATTTTTATTATTATTATTAACCATAATAATTTGGAAGATATTAAGATGGAGTATCAACTTATCTCTTAACTTATTCTTCCAAAATAAATTACTTAGTAAATTAACCTTTTTGTATTTTTAATTAAACAGCTAACTCTTCAAAATTACTATCTAGTGTCAAATTTATTGTGTCAATTAATACAGGTTACTCAGTTAAATCTAATCTGTAGATAAGAAAAGATGGAGGTTCAGGTTTAACTGGCAATTAATCATCTACTTGGGGACTTTATAAAAATCCCACAATACGATAATGTCTATTAACAATCTAAACAAAATTTTTGTTGCTTATCATTTTCTATAATGAAAGCAAAGATTATTGATTGTGTAAATATATCAATAAAGGTTTTGATTCTTAATGGGCTTTCTAAAGATTATCAATAAAGTTGCCCATTTAGAAATTGACAATTGTTTAAATCTATTGTTATTAAAGATAAGTCTAAAATTCTATTCCATGATTTTTTTCTAGTTGAACTGAAAAATTAGAAAAATTTTAATACAAATAGAGGTTAATGCCTTCCAACCATACTTTAAACTCTTTTTTAAGATACCATCATCATTAGCTCTTTTTTCCTCTTAATATTTTTTATATCTCTCAATTAAATTTGTATCTGGTGCTGATCTCTAACGAATTAAATCTGGAGGTGGATTATTTTGATTGAAAATCATAGTATTCACTATTTCTAAGAATTGAAAATACCATCTTTAATATCTTGCTAATTATAAACTTTTTGCTGATTTTATGGCTATGATAAATTTTGAGATTGATAACTTGATTACTAACTTAAATTTGGTTGTCCTTCTAATTCTAGATAGAGTTAGATAGCATTCTAAATATATGTATATTAACAAACTTCTAAGTTATTGTCCCCCATCTAAATATATTCATATGCTTTTAATTCATCTTAACATCCAGTTAATGCCATAAAGTCAAGTATGTCTTTTTCTTAAAAAGGCTACATTAATTAAAATAATTTATATTATTTTCTTTAATTAATATCAGCATTTATTAGATGTTTGTAAAATATAAAATTTATTATTAGATTCAAATTAATTCTAAACTATATCTAAATCTTTTTCAAAAAAAGTATTAAATATCTAATAATTATGTACATTCTCTCATTACTAACAATTTATTATTTAATTATAAAAATTCAATATTATTCTTAAATTAAAAAAATATTCATATAAGATTATTAGAAATATATTAAAAAAAAGAGTAATTTAATAAAATAAAAATTAAGATTAAATTAAGAACTCTAATTTATATGTATTTATTTAAGATTTTATAAATTAATCATACTATAAATTAATATTATTTAATAGGTATTACCAATATATAGTTTTAAGAAATCTAATTAAAAATAATTACAATAATTAATAAAGACGATATAAAACTCAAAAAAATTTTAATGATGCTTCTAATTCTGAGAGAAATTTTGTATATTAATTTTATTTGATTTCAATTTTTTTCATTTGATCGTATAATTTCTTATTTAATTCCAGTTTATTTAATTCCCTATTAATTTGATTAATAGTAAATTGCTCTATTTATGTGAGAACAGCCTTTTAAATATTTGTTAAAGAAATTGATAAGATTCCCTTCTCTGCTAATCGATTTAGAAATGCCATAAAAGTAAAAATAAATTATTTGTTATCAGTAAGAAACAAGTGAATCTAAGTTGATGTTAGTTGATTATTTGTATAATAATCTGTTAATGTTTTTGATTTATTTAAAATAAGATTCATAGCAGTGGTTTAATCTATTTATTCAGTAAGTTATATTGGTTGCTGTTATACTTTTTATGTGGCATATCTATTAAATCTCTTTCTTTATCCAAATTGTTTAGGAGGTAGCTCTTCACTTACTTATTTTTATAAGGATTTAGTGGATTCCTATAAATTAGATTAACTCAATTTGGGTAATATTTAATTGATTGATCCTTTTTGATTAAGTCTAAATTTGGTGTATTATGTCTTGCTAGTTTCAGCATCTGGAGTTCGTTTTTCGCTTTATGTGGATTCATTTTATTCAAATTCATCTACCTCAATTGAAGTTCTAAAATCTTATTATTTCTTGAGTTCTTTGATTGTTTTAACAGTAGTTGATTATATTATATTTTATTCCATTTATTATTTCATAAATTATATTATTATATATATAATAAAATACAAGATTATAAAATAGAATACAGATCATAATCATTTATTGATTTTATATTTTGTATAATCTTTTTAATCCTCCCTTAATTCTAATTATCTTAATCAAAAAATAAAATGAAGATTTATTTATTAAACACTCTATAATTTACTCATTTCACTTTATTTAATTATTTTATAAACATTTAATATCTCTAATTTCTATGGTCTGATACTATGATAATTCTTTAACAAAGTCAATTTTAAAAATTCTTTTAAGTCATACATAGAGAACCTAAAATTTTAATAAGTGGTCATATTTTTTATTATGTTGATTTTCTCACTTAGAATACAAAATTAAGAAGAATTCTTAAATAACTTCTATCTTTTAATGTAAATCCTATTTGATAATAATTTTATAGTCTTAACCTTATATATATAAGAATTTTAATGAAACCATCAAATAATTTTATTGTTCATTTTTATCTCTATATTTTCTAAAATTCAATCCTATTCTATTGTAACTATTAAAATTCAATGAATATAAATCATACATAGGAAATGAGAATTGTTTATAGATTGAAATTCATTATTTTCTCAAAAAATGAATAAATCTATATATGTTTTAATTTAACATAGTTAAGAAGAGATAGAAGGTCTAATATAATCATTATAATTAATCATTTAATTTTTACTTTAACTAATAGTTAATTCATAAAATGAAATTCATATGTTTTTCAAGTGTAATACCATGTTTAATTTTCATATGTTACATTAACGATCCTTCTGAACCATAAGATTTATTGCAATTTTTAATCTAACAAATATGACTTCTTGGAATCTCAACAGCTGATCTTCTATTTCTTTTTCTTTTGTCATCCATAGATAAGTCACTTTCTTGATCTTCTAAAGCTTAAAATTTCTATAATTTTTGCTTAATTTCATTTCTCTCTTGAGTGATTTATTCAACCTAATATAATTTTAGGAAACAAATTCTACATGTTAATGAAGAACTATATTATAATAGTATAATCTAATTGATTCCTTGTAGTAATCAAGGGGATGTTATTATTCTTATTCATTGATTCCTTCATTATTTGACATTATTGTTTAAATAAATATAATTGCTTTCTTTAATATATTGTTAGATGTAAAATATAATACCAAATTTTTATTATTAAAATTCTTTATTTATTTTCATATTTTACTTAATCAACATCCATTTATAAATAAGTAGTTATGACTATATAAATTAATAAAAAAAATAAATCATAAAGATTATTATCTAATCTTATATTTAATTTTTATAAATTTGTTATTTCTTGATAATTTAGATAAACTTAATTAATACTTTTTAATTGAATATTGACATATTTTATTATAAAATAAAATAAATTTTTAGAATATTTCAAATACTAGAATCAATCCATTTTAGTTTTTATTTATTAAAATAATAAAGATATATTAAAGATTTGTAAAAATATAAATATATTTTAGAATGATTCAATTAACTAAATTAAACTTAAGTATAAAATTTAGAGTTGTATTTAAAATATGATTTAAAAAAATACTTATAATTTGATTATAAACAATTTCATTGTGTTTATCTAGACAAATTCATTAATCCACAACCAATACAAGAAAATACTGAATCTTCTATATTGAAAGTGACACCAAATATTGATCTAATAATCCTTAGAGTTTCAATAGTGTGGGTGGAAATTCTACCTAATTTAATTTGACTCACTTTTCTTTAACTAATTGCCATCATTAATAATGCAAATTATTATTAAGTAGTATCAAAACATCCACAATTTTTAATTTCATCTAATAATCTCAATGCAGCAGTTTCTCCAACTTTCTCTGGATTATTAAGATCATTTGAATATTCACAATCACATGAAATAAATAATCCATTAGTACTTTCTGCTATTAATGATACTGCATATCCATTTTGAAATTCTATCCCTTTTTATGATTTTTATAAATCAGTGTGAATCCAAACATCAGGAATATAATCATTGAATACATTTCTACATTAACTTACAACACGATTCAAAAGATTAGGTGCCACTTTACTTCCTGAACAAACACCTCTAATTTTACAAATAGGTCCTCTCTCAATAATAGTTGTTGCTTATATCTATTTTATTGGTTTAGAATGCAAACTATATATATAATAATTGAATAAATACATTATAGTACCAGTTCCTGCTAAAAATCCCCTTCTAGTTACTTTTAAGGAGACATCCCATTCGGGACAGAATTTCTTTATTAAAGGTATATATGCATTAATAATGGAATCAACAGATTAATCAGTTTAATCATTTGTTATACCATTTAATTCTATATTAAGAGGTGCTTTGCCAAATAAACTCAGAATCAATAATATTTCTAAATAATACGATATAGATCTTTCAACACCACAATTATAAGTTTGTAACATACCATCTTGATTAGTTATAATACCTATTATTAATTTAATATTAGACCTGGTATATAAATGATTCCTTTTGTATTAACATCAATCTTACATCCAGTTTAGATTAATTACAATAATTTTAACATTGTTTATAAATGAGGTCCTGGCTTATATATATGAATATTGATTTTACATATTATTAAAACTCTATTTTAACTGCTCTCTCACTTAAAGTTGAACAGAGTAGAATTTCTCTAAAATTTATCACTTATTAAAAACTAATCATATATAAATTAATGACAAAATATATTTTATTGAAATCGTTGCTTTAGTCAAACAATTAAATTGCTCTATTTTTATTAATTAAAAGGAATATAAAAAATGAAATAGGAATCTGTTCGAAAATGGCACTTTTTATCAAAAATTTATTAAAGCTAAGAATTAAATTTATTATTCTCATGTACTCCAATAGGTCACAATCATATAGAAAGAATGACTCTTTAAAACTTTATCCAGTAAGTCCAACTGAATCTCATCTATAAGAATCAGAATACAAATATTTACCTTTGATTACAAGAGTTAGTTAAGAATAATTAGACCCAAAGTGGTAGGAATGCAAAATAGATGGTAAAAATCTCTTACCGAGATCAAGTTCATCAATAACCATCTAAAACAATCAGTATATTAACATAATAACTCAGTTTATATTTATATGGAGGATATTAGTATGCAATAGGTATTATGAAAGATTTCTATAAACTTAATCTGAATGCTCAAACTTATGTATGGTAGAAAATTAAATGTGATTATGAACCAGGACCACGTTGCAGACATTCCATTTGTAGTTATTAAGATAATATTTACTTATTTGGTGGATAAGTAGCTGATTCAATTTCAACAAATGAAATATTTATTCATGATGTCAAAAAACAATAATGGAAAAAATTAGAAATTAATAAAACATATCCATAACCTATGGATAATCATTGTGCAACATTATATGAAGATTAATGGATTATTTTTGGAGGTTTTTATAGTGGTAATGAATGTAAACATTCTAATGATTTATTCAGCTATAAATTTAATGAAAATAGATGGATGAGATTAAATAAATAAAAAGGAATGGAACCAGCACCTAGAGATGGTAGTTCTATAACTAATCATAATAAAAGTGTATATATATTTGGAGGTAAAAATGGAGATTTAAGGTATAATGATCTTTGGCAATTTGATATGTTAAAATTAGAATGGATATTTATTGCTATAAATAGTTTTAATAATATTCCTATGAGTAGATCAGGACATTCATTAATATCATATTAAAATAAATTAATTTTATTTGGAGGTATTCATGATGTAACATGGGAACTTGATGATTTACATTGTTTCAATTTGGATCTATAAGAATGGAAAACAATTAATTTTGATACATCTAGAAGACAAGAATTAGAATTACCTTCTCCTACAAAAACTAATAGAAATTAACCAAGATAAAGGAAACTAAAAAGATTACCTATCTTACTTAGACCTTTAAGTTTGAGAAAATCTCCATGTCCTTCACCAAAAAAACTTCGTCCTGGTTCATAATCATAATATTCATCTTATTCTATTAATAATCAAAATAATTTTGCAAGTCCTGATTTAAGTCAATGTTAAAGTAATTAAAATAATTAGAATAATTCAACTGTTCATACAACTATGAATAATGTTTAGGAAAGAAAAAGATGGGAATAATAAAAGAAAAAAACAGCCATGTTAAAATTATTTGAAGTTGAAAATAGAGAAATTATGAATTTTTAAGATGATTGTAATGTTGCTGAAAAATTAAAGACATCAATTATTTTAATTGGAAATCCTAAATAAGATTTAAAATTAAAAAAAGGAATATTAACAGAATTTGGATAATAAATTATATCAAAGTATTTATAATTTTTTAATAATATTTAGATTTCTATAACCATTAACAGGAGGATAAAATACTATTAATGGAAAGAAACCATGTGCAAGAGATGGACATGCAGTTGCTGTATTTAATGATTTTATGATTACATTTGGAGGTGATAGACATACAATGTCTTTTAACGATTTGTATTTATTGAATTTGAATCACTTTTGAAACTTATAATTGATTTTAATTTTCATTTATATATATATATTTTACATTAATAATATATATAATAATGAATTCTAGAGAGGAAGATCATTTAAATTAAGTTGATTTAGATCAAGCATATGATATACCAAATCAATAAGGAAATTTAACATAAAAAATAAATGAAATTCAAGATATTGCTGCTGAAAAATATGATGACATTAATCATATTATCAATTATGAAATGAGAGTAATGTAAGAAAAACTAGGATTTAGAGGAGAAAGACCTTAAATTTATTAATAAACAGCTCTATTTGTAGCTGTAATTTAGTTAATAATAGCAACATTTTTATCAATGTTAATTTCATAAACAACGTTTTTAGGTCAAGCTTGGACATTTATACCTTGGATCTAATATCTATTCATTTTAATCTATTTATTTACAATTTTTAGTATTCAATGTTTCTCTGAAAAGATATAAGAGGTAATACATTCAAATTCAAATGATAGACAAGATATAATTTTGGAATATGTTGTATTCATGCAGTCTCAAAAATTGTTTTAATTGTTTTTATATCAATATGGTTGTTTGATATTAGAGTGGAAATATTTTTAGTAGCATTAGTTGCAATTTAAGGTTATATCACTCTTAAAATATATATTCCTACTCAAAAGAATGAAGAGTTTGATTTAAAAGTGAAGAATTTATGGAAAAAGATGACTATTTTTTAGCTTTGTGTTTCAATATTCTTAGTATCAATTCCTCTTATTCAAGATGTATTTTACAAGATCAACATATATAGTTGGACTATTAGTCTTTGTTTCAACTCTTTTGATAGGAATTTATACTATATTGTGTTTATAAAGATTTAAAGAATACTCATATTTTTCATTTAATTCCAATGATCTATATTTAGGGGCTTTATAATTAGAAGCAGATATGTTTTTACCTTGTTTATTGATTGCATTTTAATAACGAAATATAACTTAAAGTCCTTCTCAAAATTCAACAATTAATAAAAGTGAAAAAGAGAAAGACAATAAGAGATAAGATTCAGAATAAAGAATAGCAGTACAATCTATAAAGAGTATTGCTGATTGATACAAAATGTTGTTATTTCATATTATTACATATAATATATAGTATTGAAAATATGAAATAAAAAATTTATAATTAATTTCAAGCTATGGATATATCATCCTATTAATTTTGTTCTGTTTTACAGATTTCAGATTTTGAATCTTCATTATTCTCAGAATAAGTTACTTCTAAATCTCCATTTTATTGTACTACTATAGATTTATCTTAAGTATTATATAGTATTTCTTTAATTCCTTTACAAATTTAATCAGCTGTCAATCCCTATTGTATATGTTACTCCATTAAACCATCTAAATCTTTTAATTTTACATAATAAAAATCTCTTTCACATTTCAAAGTTTCAATTTATAATAATAAATCTGTCATCGATGCTTATCTATTTTCTTTATTAGAAAAATCATTATTTAAAATTTAGATTGTTGAAAAGGAGGAATTCTTAGATAAATTTTGAATGATTTATTGCTATAAATTAATTAAATATAAGAATACATCTTTAGTATTATTTTTTGTTAGAACTTTTGATTTTGATTAATTTCTAATTTATTTTTCAGGATCTTCAAAATCTTAATTACCTCTTTTTGTTAATGGATCATAGTCTTTTGGAACATAATGAGTGTCAATATATTTTTTCATCCATTAAAGAAATTCAAGATTATCTTAATATTTGCATTTAGTCAATTTTTCAATTTCAATAGGTTTTTACAATCCCAATTTTGTAAATGCTTATTAAAGAATTTTAAAATTATTAACAAATTCATATTCTTATTTTGCTCTCCAATTTACTTTACTTAATTGGACTAAACATTAAAAAATTAAATACTTTTCCCTGGATGAACTGCATCAATAAGTTAACAATAGATAGCCCCAGTTCCTAATTATTCAATTTTATTTATAGTGGTTTTTAGTAAATCATTAACCCATTATAATAACTCAGCTCTTGATATTTCTTAATTCATAACAATTTAAATTCAAATTAATATTTAGGTTAAAAAATATATATATATATATCATTAATCTCTCATATTTTCAAGTTATTTTTCTAATTTCTTATATTTGTTATCATTTATAGAATTCAATAACTTCATTTCATAACCATTACTTCTATCAACACCATCCCATCTAAATCCAGGTAATATATTGAATCTATTGATTGGAGGTGGAAATTTACATTTTAGTAAGAAATCAGATTACTTTAATGTAATTTATTTATCATCTTCTTCTTAAATCATCTTTCTCATTGGATCATCAAACTTCTATTGACCCATTAATTACATATCAATTTATTTTATTTATTCTTCATTCTTAGTTACTAAAGCTTATTGAGCATCTTCTTACTTCTTTTATTTCTCTTATATTTAAACAAGTCCTTTTGACCACATTTCTATTTGTTATTTATTTGCTTATAGAATTGCCTATTTATCCTCTTTGGCTTTCAATCTTGGATTTAATTATTTTTCTTATTCTACTCTTTAACTTTAAGTAATTCTCTAACCCGTATTAACATCTCTATGAATAACTTCTTAAGGTTTAGGTGCTCTCTCAACAGACATATCAGAATCAGATTTGCTAGAAGAATCATCAGACTCTGAATCTGAATCAGAATCAGATGAATTTGATCCTTAACTATTGCTTCTACTTCTTTCTTTATTCATCATCTATTTAAGAAACAGTTATTTCTTCTATTTGTCAATAAGTATAGATTCAGGTGTTTCTACAAATATTGGCTATTATTCCAATTCATTATAATTTTCTTTGCTTATCACTCTTCCCATCAATACATCAATATTATCTTGATCTTTAATATTATTTTGATAAGTAACTTTTGTTTTAGATTGTCCATTATCCATATATTTCTTTAAGTATGAGAGTTTATCCATTATTGATAAATATATATATATTTTATTATTATTTATACACTCATTTATCATTTTTATATGTAGGATCTCAATTTTTCTTCAGATACTTACCAAAACTTCTCAATTAATTGTTTATATGCATAAAATGGTTAGATTATATTTCACTCTGTATAATATTCCCATATTCTAATGTATCAAAATCTTCAAAAGTGTATTACAAAGTAGTCTATGCTTTCCATTAACATAATTTTAGTAAATGTAAAAGAAATAAGAGTAATTGATTTGAAGATTAAATTTAATATTGAAATTTCTTATAATTTCCCTTACTATTCTAATAGAAGAAGATCAAAATTTATTATATTATAAGTAAAACAAATAAATAAATTAAAAAATAAAATTTATAGATTAACTTATATATGTATTAGCTAATAATTGAAAATATAATGAAAGATATGTAACAATCACAAACAATTAGTTATTTCTAAAATATAATTTATTCTTTATTCCTTAAAGTTTTAATGAAAAAGATTTTATAATTATTTATTAATTCTAAAATATATTAGATAATAACAAAATAAATTTATATTAAAATATGTTTCAATAACGATTTGATTATTTAAGATTGCCTGGCTTTGTAGCAGATAATATTATATTAGATCGTAAACAAGATTATTATTGATTCATAGCTGGTAGTATAAAGATAGGAGTAGGTTAAAATGCAATTAGAAAGATTTTTAAGGTGCAAGATTATGATTAATTTGAAAGAATGCAAATAAGTTCGTTAGCCTAAGCATTATAAAAGAATTAGAAATATGATGCAAATATACACACAGATGATCTTCTACTTCGATATCTTTATGCTAATAAATTCAATATTCAAGCCTCAGTTGATGTAATTATAACAATCATTCTAGCAATTAGTTAAAACAAATGAGATACTATTCTAAGCTGGTTATATGAGACTTGATAAAGAAGTGGAGTAATTATATGTAAATAAATAATCTAAATCAATAGTATAAAGGAGCACTATATATAGAGGGAAGAACTAGATAACATGTTCCTTGTATTGTAGTATCTACAAAGTTAGTGGATGATTTGGCATTATTTGAGAGAGCAGCAATTATTTTATGTGCCATAATTGAGGATTATATGTTTTATAGTGGTAAAGTGGAGTCATGGATAGCTGTTATTTAAACTAAAGATTAAAGTGCTTACAAAATGCCATTAGATAAAATATTTTCTATTATTAAGATATTGTAGACTTGTTTTCCAAATACTTGTGATGCAATATATATTCTTAATGCTACTTTATCAATTAATCTACTTTGGTCATAAATTGAAGGTAATAATTTTCATATTAAATAGAATATATAAGTCCTATTACTCTTGGCAAAATTAAATTTTTGAAGGATAAAGAATTACCTATATTATCAAATTAATTTCATCCTGAGTAACTTGAATAATCATTAGGAGGTGAAAAGATTTTATAATCATATTGGCCACCAGATCCTAATGATTATATGTATGATTAACCAATTTAATAATAACAACCATTTTATGAGTATGAAGAATAACCTTAGGTGTTCTTTTCAGATAATAATAATAATCTCTAATACATGAATGAAGCACCTATTTTACATGAAGAAATTCCACCACCTATTCCTGTTTCAAAATAACCTGAATCTATATAAGAAAATATTGTTCCAATTGTCCCTGAAAAAAAGAAAAAATGCATTTGTGTCAAATGCTCCAGAGATTTAGAAAATTTAAATTCTTAAACTCGTGAACGTTAACCTTCTGAACCTTAACCTGTAAATAAACCTATAATAAAATAATAAGAGCCATAAAAATAAGTTATTTAATAATTGGATGATACTTATATCCCATATGAAAGAAAATATGATAGTTTCATTAATGATACTAGTTTATTAATACCCAAAACAATTAATGATACTATTTAATAAGATAATAAAGATGAACAATAATTTGGAGGTAATTCTTTCAATAATTCTTAATAATAACAATTTGGTCAATAACCTGAATTAAATCAAAAGCCTAACAAACCATCATTTACAAATCCATTTTATAATGCTGATTCAATGTAAGGGTCTTAAAAAATAGAACCAAAATAACCTCCAATAATTTCAAATAAAGTTAGTTAAGAGATATAAGCTAATATGGATGATACAATAATTGATGATAAACCAGATTATTAACCTAAGTATGTGAGTAAACATAGTAGACCATATTAATCTAATAATTATAATCAACCATCTCAATCAAGTCGTATAACAAATAATATACCAAATCTATACAATTTACAAAATATTCCTAGTTATAATCCAATTAATTATGCTTAATATTCATAATAACCTGTTGTCTAATCTTAATAATATATACCTACTCTCTAAACATAAACGTAGAGCCAATAATACATTAATATAGAACCTTAATTTTAACAATACGATGTTATTTAATAACATCCGGTATAAGTTCAAGACTTTGAAAATACTAATTATAATCTAAATTAATCCTATCATGCTCCATAACTTTCTAATGATCCAAAAAAAAAATATGATTTTAGTTAATGGGATAAGTATAATGATGGTAATGATACTGTGCCCGTGTAACCATATATCCCAATATCAAACACATATACAAGTCCTTACTTATAATAGAGTCCAATACCCAACTATAATATAAATGAAGATTATAATAAGATAAATGATATTCCAAATGATTACAAACCTGGTGATTTTAGACCATCAACCTATAACTTTACTCCTTATGATTATAGATATAGTGATTAACAATTTTAGCCAAATGCAACTAAAGAGAATGGGTATGAATATAATTATTATAATTTAGAACATAATAATTATATCAATAAAAACCAGGATAGTAAGCATGTTAAATATTTTGATTGATCAATATATAATTTGAATTAACTATTATTATGATGTTTACTCCATTCTTACACAATCATGATAATCCTATTATTCCTTAGAGTTCTTATTGAATTAAGAATGCAATATTAGTCTTTTATTTTTGAAATATCAATAATAAATCTAACATTTTTGTGTCACCTGATATTATCAAAAGTTAATTGATCTAAACTAATTCAATAATAAGTTATTAAGTATCAGATCCTTAGATTTGAATCATCCAATCACACAATAATTCTCAATTATAGGAATTATTGAATATTCCTTTTAATTTTAATTTCCTTATTATTCTCATACAAATTGGTTCATCTTGCTAAATATAACATACTTGATGGATTGGTTTAATAAAATTGATCAAAAATTTATTTCTCAATTCTATTACTGAAACTATAATTTTTAAATCTTCTAGTTTTATCACATCCTATTGTATACAGATTTCCATTAATTATTGAATATATTCCAAAAGATACCTATTACTTTTTTTACAAACTTAAGGGATAGTAAATCAAATATAGAATTGAAATTATAAACTTTATCTAAGATATAATGAATGATTTTATTCTAAATTAATGTTTTCCTGTCATTATTGCTTATGGAAATCAACAATGCAATTCAATCACTTGTAGGATTCATTAGCCAATTAATTTGCTACCAATAAAGTTAATTTAATAATAATATATGAATCTCTTATCTATTATTATTATTATAATACCCATGTTTTATTCCTTTTCATATCCATATCTCAGCTTGACTTCTATTGTTTTTGATCTATTGATAATATACCTTAAGTAGCTCCACTGCAAAAACGTGAAAACAATATTAAACAACTTATGGATAATTTATTATAATATAAACTTATGATTCCATAGAATATATGATCTTCTATTTCAATGATTTCTGAGTCTAAAGCAAAGCAATTCCCTATTAATTATTCTAATTATAAGAAAAATTTTATAATAATTATTATTTTCTCAGAATTCTCTAATTTTAGATTATATATATAAATATTGAATTAAAGTAAAATTTTGTTTATATATCACATGTAATGTCATTTAATAGTGGAATTAAGGAAGTTAGATTAAGACAATTTTTTTTGAATTTAAATAATACATCTTCTTCAATCATAATAACATTAGAAGATTATTAATATAAGTTGTTAAATATATATAATCAAAAATTGCCTTATATTGTAAAATTAAAATCTAATATAAGATATATTATTGAATTTATTTTAAGAATATGGGTTCCACTTGTTGTAGGTAATCTGAAATCATAAGTGCTAATCAAGAATCTGAATTAATGGATATCTTTGATATGAAAATTGATTAAGAAATCTATCCCTTAAAAGTTCATAAAGGCTTCAGAAATATTCTTTAAAAAAAGAAGTAAATGAAGTAAATTGATGAAGACTCCTCTCTTACTTTTCTCTAAAATGAATTGAATAAATATACTAAACATCATGATTACAACTAAACAATTATTTATTCAGAATATTTGTAATAATAAGAAAACGTGTAAATTAAAATAAAGAAGCTGAAAAGCATAATTAAACCTCGCACATTATATCATTTGACATCATCTAGTACAAGACTCAATTCTTAATTAAAAAACTAAGAAAGTTAATTTAAAAGAAGATAAAGAATACTTTCTGATAAAAAAGTAAGGTTTAAGATTCCAAAATAACATAAGAAACCTTCACATTCTTGCTCAATATCAAATTATAGATCTGGAATTCAAATAAATTTAATTAACTGTCATCAAACTCGAATTGGATTATTTTGATTAGTCTAATAATTAAAAATTGAGATTTATTTTTCAAAAATTTATTCCTTTTAATATTTATTTGATATTTCTCAATGTAATATTTATTTTAAAGTGAATTTATTTTTAATTGAATACATAATCTTTATCTTTATTAATGAATTACTCAATTTATTATTAAATTACTCAAAAGTACAAAAGCTGAATTGGATATCTCTAAATATATCTAATTATACTAAATTATATATAGTAATTTAAAATTATATTGAATATTAACCACTCGTAATGAATCATTTTTATAAATTATTATACTAAAATTTATGGGTGCAGTCTGTCGCTATTAGTAATAGAGCTCTGAAACTTACTAAAATTAAGAAATACAAGGATATCTCCCTATTTCAAAAGAGTTAAAACCAAAATCTATTAATAACAGTATTAAGCATGATTTAAAGGCTAAATACTAAGAGATTGATTGTCACATTTGCAATAGACCTCAAATGATAGAAAATGCTTCTTAAACGTAGGTTTCGTTTTACAATATTACTCAATTTGCCACTTTATAGAAGTATAGGTCAAAACCTTAGAAAAACAAGAAAAAATAAAAAAGCAAGGATAAATTAATTTTTGACAATTTTAAAACAAATAAACAACGTTCAGTAAGTCAATCATCATAAACCTAAAATAAACTATAAAAATATTAATCTTGCAAGAATTAAGTAAAAGAAAAACTATAAGACTCTTAACAATATGTAGTAATGATTAATTCTCAAATTTAATCAATATCTAATAATGTATGTTAAAAATAAATAAAAAATTGACAGAATTTAGTAAAAATGATATTTTATAGATCTAAATTTTAAATATTTATATATGAATTAACTTAATCTTATTAAACACTTTTTCATTTTCTAATAATAATTTTACAATCAATATTGATTATACTTATTAATAAATGTAGATTTAGACATTGTTTTTCAAATTTTTTAAATACTGATTTTTTTTCATTTCAAAAACATCTATAAGGTATTTCAAATTTAATCTTTATCTAAAGGCTAATAAATATAAAATTTTCAATAATAGGATTGAATATAAATAACACATTATATTACAAAAAGTTAAACATTAACTTCTATTTGATCAAAGTATATTTGTTAAATTATATTTATACTAAATAAAATAGATATTAATTGTTTTAGATAATGTTTTGAATTATAACCTCAAATTAATGTGAAATAATATTAACCAAAACCAAATTAAGAAAATGTTTATCAAAACAAATGAAAATAAATAATTCTATTTTGGTTAGTTTAGTTCAAAATGAGTGAAGAAGATAATAATTGATAAATGTTTGATTTATCAAACATAATATATAAAGATATTATAAAATTCTTTAAATATAGATGACTAAGGTTATTAGTATTCAGATATTTAATTAATTAAAAGCAATCCAATAAATCATAAACATTTAATTGTTAATAAAATATATTTAATAAAATAAAATTACATAATATTATTATGTAGAAAATATAATTAAACTTTTAGTCTTAGTTTTAAAGTTAAAATTCAAAATTATAGAACATAATGTACTTTATAGCTTCTATTTTTTATTATAATTAAAATAATTAAGAGATAATTAATGATTTTTTTTGTTATAATGATTAATAACATAATTTTAATGATTTAAATTAAATATAGAAATTAAGCACATTTTCCAGAATCTATTTTTGTTATAATGCTGAAGAATTATTTATTTAATTGAAAAAATAATAAGAATTGAAATAAAATTTATATTAATTTATTTATCAAATGGATCCCAATGCTTAAATTAATGAGAGATACACAAAATTGTAAGAAAAATTGAGTACACTTCAGTTTGAGGTTGATACTACAAAAGATGCAAAAATAGATGAAATTTATGATAGAATCAATAATGCTTAAAGTGAATTGAAGGATATTATTAATAATTACAGTGAATAACTTGTACTATTTTGTTGTAAATATAGGGATAATTGACAAACCAATTTTCAGATCTCAGTAAAAAATTTGATAAGCAAAATGAATAATATAGTAATTCACATGAAAAAAAACTTAAGGAGATTAAAAATTTGGAGAATAAGTTATAGAAAAAGTTAGAAGATGACATTAAAACAAATAGAGAATAAAGTGAATAAGTCCTCTCAAACTATGATTAATAAGTATATTTCTTAAAATTATAATATTATAGGTCTAAGATTTATTATAACAAATAGGATAAGAAATAAAAGTTAGAAATTAATAGGTAAATATAATTAATACAACTCTTCAAAATGATTTACCTGCATTATGGTAATATAATGTTTAAGAAAATTAAGAAAGAGTATAAGAGGATTAAGATATTGTCAAAAGAGCTAGTAATGAGATTTCTAAACTGTTTGAGTAGGCAAATTAAGGAAAATAATAGAGGTATACTTAATCATATTATTAAAAGAGAGGATGCAGAAATGAGTATGTTTTCGATGCTAAAGGAAGTGGTAGTAAGAATTAAGAGTGAATTAGAAGAAGAGAGATAACTAAGAATGGATGGACATGAGGCTTTATTATCAATACTTGAAGAAGCTTATGAGAAAATGGAAGAAACACATGCAAAAGTTTAGTAATAAAAGGCTGCTTTACAAGAAAAATGAAATATAATATTATGTTCAATTTTTATAATATTTGACAATTTTGTATTCTATTAAAAATTAATAACATAATTGTTTAGTTATTTAAAATAATATCAAAAGACAAAATTTGATGTCAGAAATTAATTTATTTTTATAATAGAAAAACTTAAAGTGAATGCTTATTTGAATAAAAACTAATATTATGTTTTAAATAAAATATTATAGATAAATAATTATATTATAGATTGCAATTATATTTTGTTTCTTAATATTCTATATGTATAAACAAGTATAATAATATATTTAAATTAAAATAATGAATTGTTAGTTTTAATTTTAATTTATAAATTTACTTATAGATTCTATTTGCATTAAATATAATATTAGCAATAGATAATATAATTTAATAAAAATGAATGATGTTTCAGCAGCAGGATTCAGACTTCTAATTTTGATTTTAACCAGTTGTTGTTATTGTTTATGGTTTTGAAGGTTAATTATTTGTAGGAGGATTTGCAGGTTTACTTTATATTCCAATAGATCCTATTTTTATTCCATAAATCTTTATAATTTAATAATATATATTACTTCTTATGTTGGATCAATCTCTCCACTTCCAATTTTTGCTAAGACTTTATTTGCCATAGACTCAAATACAGCATCAACATTTTCTCCTGTTTTTGCAGAAGTTTCAAAGTAATCAAACCCAAATTTCTAAGCAAATTTCTTTGCTTCTTCAGTTTTTACTTCTCTTCTAGAATAAAATTTATTAAATGTATATTACCTTTCTTCTAAATCAATTTTATTTCCCACTATAACCATTTCAATTTTATCACAAGCATATCCCTAAATTTCATTGTACCATTTTTACACATCCTCAAAGGACTATCTATTAGTAACATCAAAGACAAGAATTCCACCAATAGATCTATAATATTAAGATAATTTATACCCTCTATAATAAGAACGCGTAATAGATTTAAATGATTCTTATCCAGCCTATTGATTAATTATGATATAATACAGTGTCCCAAATTTATAATTTGATTTACTTTTCATTTATTTTGAGATTTCTTGATCCAAATTCTACACCAATAGTTGCATCATGTTCATTTCTAAATCTAGAATCAGTGAATTATAATAGTAAACAGCTTTTACCAACATCTTATTATAAATTAATAGATTACTAGTGTCTCCAACAATAATGAACTTAAAGAGATAATTGTAAATATTCATAATAAATTTATTTATTTAAATTTATTATTGCTTAGTTATTATAGAAATAATAATTAGGAAATTTCTCCTTTTCTCATACAACAACATTATATTTTATTTTAATAATTATCATTCCACAAAATCATTTCTCATCTATAATAAAATTATACTCTATTAATTGATCAATTATTCCAATTTTAAACTAAATAACAATAAAGAACAATAATTTATATAGTTTTTAATATTTTCTTAGAAATTCAAATTGTGATTAATTTTTTTGATAAACATTAAATATTCTAATTTCTCCATAATATCTTATTTAATATTTATTTGTTTTATAAAGAAGAATCGACAGGATGTCTGAAGATGCCGAGTAGAGTTTTAGAGTTAACGAGATAATTTGGGCGAAAGTCTTAGGCTGTAAGTATAATCTAATTCTTTAGATCCATGGTGGCCTGCAAAAGTAATTATACAATAATCATCTTATAGATTGCTTCAATTACTAATGTGAATGGCAAGAATGGATAATATTGTGTATACAGAGTTAATTTTATTGGAGACACTTCGCAGTATCATTTTAAGTTAGCATTATAGCGCCTAATTAAGATTTGATAAATTGAAGAAATGGAATCCTAAGCCTATACAATTAGAAACTAAAAAGTTAAAAGAATCAATAGATTTAGCTAATAATTTGATTGAAGGATTAGAAAAAGCATAAGAAATTACATTAGGCAACCTAAATGAGCATATTTTAAAGGATCTAACTATTAAACTGAACGATCTTGTTTATCATCAAAGTTCTATATAAGAAGTAAATTGATTAAAATTATGTCATAGATCGTTCAAACTTTGAATCTAATAAGCAACAATGAAAAATTATTTATTGTCAAACTAAATTTAGGATAATAATATTTTGCATTGTATTAAGCCTTAAAATATGGGAAAGGGGAGAATTATCTTGAAAATACCTAAGATTTTATTGATTAGTTGAAAGCGATTATTGGTTTCCAATAACAGCAAGAATTCTTGACAATTTAAAAAAAATAAGAAAAGCCTACTCCCAACAGTGATGACACTAAGGAAATCACTGATTCTCCTATTAAGAAAAAGAAAATTGAAGAAATCTCTAAAGATACACTTTGTAATTAACATTGATTTTATATTAATTATTTCTATATATATTTTTGTTTATTTCTATTACTTTTTAATTATCACAGAAATGTTAGAAAATGATTTTGAGTAAAAAATAACAAATAAAATACTAATAACTTATCCTTATCGAACAATATTTTAAGTCTTTTATTAACATGCAATATTCACTTCACTTTATTTAATATCTAAAGTTATATTAAATTTATATGTATTACAGTTCCCTTTTCAATTTAAATACTATTTAAAAGAATAGAACCAATTGTAATTTTAAAGATTCTCTACTTTATGTTTTACTATATAAAATTATACATTAATTAAATTTATATAATTAGAATGCTTATAATTAATTAGTTCAATTGACTTAATTATTTTTCATTTCTTTATAACAAAGTCATAAAGATAGTTTTAGTTATTTAAATCAATTATAAGTTGAATTCTATATATTACAGCCATTTATCAGTAAACAAATTTAAGTTAGGTATATGAAATAGAAATGGATCATGAGATCTTTTAGATCTAAGTATTCAGATAATTCTTTTCCTTATCCATACTATAATTAGATTTAGTAGAATGAAATAAAAATATATATTTGGAACAAAAAAGAATATAGATTAGTAACACATCATTTATTATTTTTCTTTATTTTCTTTAGACACCCTAAAGCTTACCTTAATTTATTCATTCTAGCTTAATTTGTTAGTTTTTGATGATGCATGATCATCCTATTTACTCTACACCTGAATTCATCAATTTGGGTCTTTGATGAATCAAGGAAGTCTTATGGAATAGTATGAAATGCCTAGTCTAGCTGATCAAGAGCTTTTTCTGAGCTTTCGAAGAGAACTGACTAAAGTTTTTATTATGGAAGTCTCATAAGAAGTATCAGCATAGTTCTTGATTCTTCGAGTATCTTAGGTTGACTTGATTCTGTAGCCATAGCAAGATGATTTGAATTATTTTTTAAAAATAATCAAAAATTAACCTCAGTCCTGCTTTATTGTTGTAAATAACAAATCAACCTCATTAAATATAATACTTAATAATTATACACTAAAAATAGTTCTCAAATTATAGTAAATAAATCAATTCACAAACATTTTAAATCTCATTTGTCTTTTTAGAAAATTGGAAAGAGATGGAAAAAAAAAATGGTTTGGAAACTAAATTTTTAGTTTAAAATAAAATTAAAACAGAATTATTTAATTACTTTAAAATAAAAAAAAAATTCTTTTGTTTATTCAATATTGATTTACATATTATTTGGTAAGCAGAGTTAACTTCAATTCTGATTTTGATACATGATTTAAATTATTATTTTAGAATTAGATATAATTCAAAACAAAATAAAAAACTAAATATTAAATATTGATTTAATGGAAAAATCTATTTTATTAATCAACAATCTTATTATTATTCGATAATCGTTGTTGTCACCATTCTACTTTTATAATATTTAATTAATTCTTTAGGAGCATATTTAGCAACTTCAGTTGTAAAATATTCTCTTAATTTTGGTATTGTACCATCAGACCTAAAATTATAAAAAATAATTACCTTGGTCTCCATTGAATAGTAGCAATTAACTTACCATTCAAGTAAGATTTTTTGACTGAAACAATTTTGTGTACTTTGTCACCTTACAAAAAATCACCATTCTCAACTTTTGGTCCTAATGAGAATGATTCATCTTTAAAGGTATCCAAACTTAAATTATGGATTTTTTGTATTTTAGACAATTTAGAAGTTGTCATTAGATTTTGTGTAAAGTCATCTTCTCTCTCATACCTTGTAAAAATATCAATAAGATGATCTAAATTGTTATTATATTTTGAAATATGCTAATCAGCATCTAGAATTTCTAATTTTGTTTTTTTTCTCTACTACTCTTCCTGTTATTCTAATGTTTACTTTTTTCTAGTATTCTTTTTCATTATTTATTTTATTTGCTTATAGCGGAAAATTTTTGCGTAAATTTAATTATAAAATACATACAAATTATTTTCCAACAATATTTATAAAATATGTGTAGACCACTATTATAAAAACTAATTATATTAGATGATTTACTATAATAGAAAATATATTTTGAATTTCAAATAATTGGAATTTGTTTATTTTACATAATATAAAAATTTATAATATTATAAATAGATGTTCAGATCATAAGAAATGAGTTATTTTTAATTAGTAATGCCTTAAGACAGTGCATGGACTATTATGGATTAATTGGGTTATTTAAGTAAAGTGGAAATTATTGATCATAATCCTAATGAAGCTTTAATTAATAGACCATTTGCAAATTATGTTAAAAGGTAAATCATATCTGCCAACTCTATAGATGCGATGACTTAATTGTAAAAATAGAAAATATGCTTTAAGTTGCTAAGAATTTAAATTTGCTATCTAATTATAAAAATGGAAATTTGTAATAATTTACCAATTATGTATTCTATATAATTATTGTTTATAGAAAAATTCACATACTCATACTTATCTTGATAAGATTGAAGAAGATATAAACAAAAAAACTTCAATTTTTCAGGAATAAAATAAACATCTTGAATAACTTATAGATCAATAAGAATACATTCAAAATTATATTGAAATTTTAATAGAGAGTAGAAAGTATTTAGGGGAAAATGTATTTTAAAGTCAATAAATTTCAAAATTTGAATACTATGTTGGAATAATTAAAAATTTAGAATTATTATAGTATTTAAGTTTAATAGAATAGATTTCATCGTGTAATATTTAGAGTGACAAAAGGAAACTCTTATGTACATTTGAAAAGAATGAATGAGAAGTAATCAATATTCATTGTTTTATTTCCTAATATAGGAAACTATGGAAAATAAAAAATTTAAAAGATTGTAGAACAAGTATCTTAAGGAAAGTTTACTTTACCGTAAAGTCTCTTAGAATTTAAAAAAAAATTAAATGAATTGAAAATTAAACAAGCTGAATATATAAATGTAATAAACAATACAGAATATAGCTTATATCAATGACTCAGAATTAACTGTGTTAATGCATATCAAGTATGTTTGTTATAAAAAATGGATTACCACTTATAGAATTTTATAAATTTTATTTAATAAAAGAAAAGGAACTTTACAAAGAGCTAAATAAGTTAAAAATGCATGGTAGATTGTTTCTAGGGGAATTATGGGTACCAACAAAAGATATTTAATAATTAGAATAAACTATATATGTGATAAAGGAATAGTAATCAAATAATCCTGGAGGATAATTAGCTTAAAAGAATCCTCCTGATTTTCTTTAGAAACCCACTTATTTTAAATTAAATGAGTTTACTTCCATATTTTAAGAAATAGTTAATACATATGGGATTCCAAGATATCAAGAAATTAATCCTGCAATTATAACAATAATTACATTTCCATTTTTATTTGGAGTAATGTTTGGAGATATAGGTCATGGATTTATATTATTAATGTTTGGATCTTATCTCTGCTTATTTGAGAATAAATCATTTTATAATTTAAGATATCTAATTCTATTGATGGGTTTCTTTAGCTTTTATTCAGGATTAATTTATAATGATTATTTGAGTTTATCTTTAAACCTTTTTAAAACTTGTTTAAGATAAAAGAATGAATGTGTATATCCATTTGGAATTGATCCAATGTGGGGAGGTCATTTAGAATTTAATGACTCATTTAAAATGAAGTTAAGTATTATTATTGCATTTTTTCATATGTTGTTGGGTATATCTTTGAGTGGTTTAAATTATTTATTTTTGAAGGATTGGTTAAGATTATCTTGTAAATTTATTCCATAATTATTATTTTTGATATGTACAATTGGATATATGGTATTTTTGATAATATACAAATGGTTGAATCATCTTGAGCCATAAAATGCCCCAAGCATAATAACTACAATGATTTCAATGATTTTAAATTTAGGTAAAATATAAGGTCCATAAATGTGGGAAGGGAATTCATAAGATTATGTTTAATATTGTCTCTTAAGTATAATTTTATTTTTTATATAGTAATAACAATTATCACAATACCTTGGATGTGGTTTCCATCAATTATTAGTCTTTTTTTAAATAATAAAAATCTTTAATAAAATGAAGATAAACGTAAATCACAAAGAATATATTATGGATAATTAATAGAAGAGTCAGGAATTGAAATGACCTAATCTCACTCTCAAAATCATGATTAGATATATTTAAAATAGAATAAACAAAATGCAGAAATTTAAGACTCAACAGTCCATATTTAATAAAAATAGGATAATTCACATTAAGATATTGAAGATATGATTGTTCATGAGACTATTGAAACATTGGAATTTGTTCTTGGAGTTATATCAAATACGGCAAGTTATTTAAGATTATGGGCTTTAAGTTTAGCACATTCTCAACTCTCCGAAGTTTTCTTTGAATTATTACTAGTACAACCAATTAATCATGGATAACCAATTAATTTAATGATCGGATATCCATTCTGGGCTTTAATAACATTTGGTGTTTTGATGTGTATGGATAGTATGGAGTGTTTTTTACATTCATTAAGATTACACTGGTAATGATTATTTCTTACAATTAGGGTGGAATTTTAGAATAAGTTTTTTAAAGGTGATGGAATCTAGTTTAATGTCTATTCTTTTAGAGATAGAATTAAGGACAGTATCAATTAGTAATTAAAGTGAAGGATTATAAAATATAATTAATTTAGATAAGATATTTATGATTAAATATCTCTTTATTACATATTCTTTTTTTAAATAAATTATAATAGATAAGAGTTGATCCATATTAATTAAATATCATGAAATAACCTAGAATATTATTTTAATTGCATAATTTAATAAGGAGTTCAGAATCTAATGATTTTTTTGTTTTATTATTCTCAAAATTTTTGATTTTCTAATTCCTTATTGTTCAACTAGATGATAAGATATAAAGCAAATAGAATTAAGATGAAGATATTGATAGAATTCAAATAATTGGAAATATATGCATGTTTATTGATAACATAATTTACAATCTTATAATCAGATTGATAATTATTTATTGTATGATTGTTAATTAAATTTATTAACCAGTTGAATTCATATATTCATATACGATAGGAGGAAAGTAAGAGTAGCATTTGCAGTTAAAAAATTAATTACCTTAAAAGAAGCGAAATCTTACAGATGAAGATAGAAGAAAAATAAAAAATGAAATATAAAATGAGTTTAATAAAAAGAAAATTCTAAAGAAAAAAATTCATAAGCAAATTATTATAAAAGTAAACCATAAAAAATACTTAAAATTGTATAAGAATAAGTTTTTATTTGTAGATTTAATAAACTAAAGGCCAGAAAAAATAAAGTGAAAAAATTATCATTAGGAAAAAAAATAAAAATCATAAAGAGAGAAAGAATCTTTTAATTAAATAAAGAAGATGATGATGAATAAGTCAAAGTTAAAGATGCCTATGATAAAGAATATGATAAGGGTAAAATAAAAAAAGTTAAGAAGAAGAGAGAAAGTTAAAAATTAGATTTTGATAAAGCATATAAATTAAAATATAATAAATGAATTTAAAAGATGAATAATTTAATGAAGAAATCTGTGTGAAAATAAAGACTTTAGATAATCATAATTTAGATGTTCGAATTAAATAAAGCCAAACAGTGAGTGATCTTAAAAATTTAATCGAAATAGTAACTTGTCATGTTTAGCCAAGGTCTCAACCATTCCATCTTCGAGATAGAGATTATTATTTAAGGGAAGGTAACTTAATAATGAGGATACTTTGATTTCTTTGAATATTGAGGATTAATGTGTTGTTCATTTAGTTGCCAATATGCCTGAATTTGAATCATCTCCTTTAAATAGAGGGTTATCAACTAGTTCAATTGATGAACATGATAATAGAAATAGTTGTATTTATATAGTAAATATTCAGTTGATGTATAAGAGAATAGAAGAAACTCTAGAAAAAAGGTTTTATAGCAAAGGTTACATGGATTTTAATAATTGCCTACAAGGAATTCATTATAATAAAATGTCATGACATTACATAATCTTTTATAATCATTCAATACAGTGGCTGAAGTTATTGAGCAAGGTTAAATATTTGCTTAGAAAGACTTTGAACTCGGTTAATGGATCGACTTTAAGGATTCCTTTGGAGAATGGGTTGAAGGTTATATTGGTTAAAAATAATAAAATCAAGTTTTAATTGTTCAATAAAATGGAGAAGAATGGATAGGAGTACCATCTAATAGATTAGCATTATTCAGATCTCATACAATACAAAAGACTTATCACATGTCTCCTATATTAAATAACCATGAATAACAATAATTATGGACCTTTAGTGAATTACTTGGTTAAACAGCTATGTTGTTATCTAGAGCTGGAAATATGATGTCTAGATTGGCAGATAGTGTAGAAGACAAATCTATTCCATAAAATAAAAAGGCCGATATGTCTAATCTTATAACTGGAATGATTGAAGAATAAAGAAGAATACAGGAAGAAAAGGTAGAAAAATAAGATGATGTTACATCTCTTAAATCTATGAAGTCTATGAAATCAGATAAGATATCTATTGATTATGAAACATCATCAATTAAATCTATGAAGTAACTATTTGACTTAAATTAGATCTGATATCTCTAAATTAACTACTTATTTTATTGGTCATAATCATAATACAATGATGGCTGAAAATATTGCAGAAGAAGAAGAGAACAGTAGTTAAGACATGTCAGTTGATAATCAAAGAGATGTGCCTAATATTTCCAAAGAATTTAAGGAAAATTATGCTTATTATGAGACTTCTTTGTTGGCTGCCTAATTAGCCCCTCTATCTGATCGACTAGGAAGATTATTGTAATATTTTAATTTTAATTTTATCTAGAGTTGATTTATCCCCATATCTTGCCTTGAGTGGATCCAATATTAATAAGTATCTTTATGTTATATGAAGTATCTTTCAAAATCATCCTAATTCCAATATATCCAATTTATCCATAATTACTAATGAAGGCAGTTAATATTCAACATAAGCTAAACAATATTATTTTTAAGTGCCCATATTGTTAACACCTTTTGAATTGCATACATAATCATAATAAGGAACATCAGCCAACAGAATTGTAGGAGATAATGTAGATATCTTAAATCACTTAAATAATAATAATAATGGTAGTAATCCTCGTTAAAAAAAAACTACAAAAAAAGAGGAAGAAGAGAAATAACAGTTTGTTACAATATCTAAGCATAAATTAACTTAATCATATCATTTATCATATTAATAATAGTAATAACAATAATAATAATAGTAATAATAATTCTAATAATAATAATAATATTAATAATTTTAATAATAATAATAATAAATAAAGGAATCAAATTTTTAAGTTATAGAATAAGATGATACCTTATAATTATAACAATATTAATCATTGAAGAAAGAATCAACAGATGGGTAAATAAAAAAGAAAAAAAAAGGCAAAGAAGTATCATTTTCAGAATAGATTAATCAACTGAAAAAAGATAAATAGTTTTGATAATTATTATTATATATATATATATTATTAGATATACAGAAACAATATTTCATTCAATTTTGATTATTTAAAAAAATAGAATTAAAAAATATGATAAATATTAATGGATAAATAATTGAACATAATTCAAATTAATTTGGTTATCATCATAATTTTAAATCATATAAGACATCAATTTCAATTACCAAAATTATTATGTTTATAAATTTGACGAAAAAAATACATTAATTTCTAATCATAATATTAATATAAAATATAAAATACTTATTAATGTCCAAAATATATGAGATAGAAAATTAACTCATAATCAGATTTCCCCCTGCAATAGCAGAGAAAATTAGAGAGTCTTTTGCAAATAATTAATAATTACCCATTACAATTGAACCAAAAATTGGAAAAGGAATGGAATTCGATGTATCAATAAACAGTTTGAAATATTAAGACAAAGGTGTATTAGTTGATTTACCAACGATAACAGAGAGTTATAAATCTAAGGATTATATAAATTTATATAAATCAAATGATATCAGCTAAATGATTTGGGTTGGAAAGACCAGCAATACAAGATAATGTGGAGATAAAGTAGTTTGTGATAGTGGATTAACTCCACCTACTTATGATATTAGAAAAGACTTTCATCGTAAGCAACCTTAAATTGACATTGGAGAAATTCAAAGAGTGGAAAAAGAATTACATTCTATTCAATCAGAATTCATGAAATAAGCAGAAGAAGAAGAAAATGGATCAGATGATGGAAAGAAAGGAAAAAAAAGATACAATAAGTTTTGATCTATTCAATAAATATACACTCATTAAAAGAGTATACTTAAAAGCTTTTCTAATTCTTATTTGTGTACAGTTGAGGATCCACTTGCTGTTGATGCTGAAGGTCTTCTACCACAAAATGTTAAATATTGATGTTTAATTTTACCTTATTGATGTAGCAAGGATAAAACCTAAATAAAATAAAAAAAATACATTTTGAATTCTTGGTTCTAAATATTGCCAACCACCTGAATTTTAATGTTCTTCTTAACAGAATACAAATTCTGCATTCTCGTATTATTAAGCAACAACTCTGAAATGGTCATATGGAAAAGGTGCTAATTATTCTACTCTAAGAATGGCAACATCCTAAATATATTTATAAATATTTACATTTCTTTTTGTCTCCTATCTTTTCTGTAAAATATCATAATAAACTTGACCATAACAAATTATAACTTTTTATATTTCTTTTGGTGCTTTAATTTCTTCATGAGAATCAGGAATTAATCTATGGAATCTAGTTCCTTCAAGGAAATGAGAAATTTCAGAAGTTGCCTTAGAGAATTTGAGTAATCTTTTAGAATTGAATAAAATTAAAGGTTTTCTAAAGTCTCTTCTTAATTATCTACGTAGAGAATGGAAATAATTGGAGGGATTTGAACAAACACAAACTTAGAAATTAGAATCTAGAATCTATCTTTTAATTCTCTATTCTTTCATCTAAAATACAATATTAGGATCATCATCCATTAATTATAAATATCTTTCCATTCTTCCACTAGAATGTTCAGGTCCTTAACCATCTAATCCATGAGGTAACATCATAACAAGTCCTGATGGTACATTCCATTTAGATTCTCCTGAAGTAATGAAATTATCTATCATAATTTATGCTCCATTTGCAAAATCTCCAAATTATCCTTCCCAAATTGTCAAAACATTAGGATTTGATTGAGAATATCCATATTCGAATCCTAAGACTCCATATTCTGACAATGGAGAATTATAAACTTCAAATCTATTATTTCCACCAGCAGGTATATAATTCCTAAGTGGATAATATTTAATATCTTTCTTTTGATCATTAATCACTGCATGTCTTTAAGAGAATGTTCCTCTTTCACAATCTTAACCACTTAATCTAATGCTAAATCCTTCATGTAATAGAGTTCCAAAAGCCAAAGCTTCAGCTGTACCAAAGTCTATGCCTTTTCCTTATTCAATAGACTACTTTCTTTATTCATATATTCTTTTAACTTATGGATGAACAGTTAATTCAGCAGGTAAGTTATTAACTTTCTCATTTAACTCTAATAAATCTTTCAAAGCAACTCCTGTGTCCTTTACCTTTCCCCATTTGGTTACTTATTAAATTTTTTCCCATGGTTTAGGTACCCAATGTACTTTATCAAAAGTTTCTTTTTAAATGTTTTTATAAGCTGTTTCAAGACTATTATTTAATTTCTTAATTTCATTATTTGCAAAATCATCTGTAATAACTCCATTTTTTCTTAATTATTGATCATATATTTAAAATACAGGTTTTTATTTATTTATTATTTCATACATTTATGGTTAAGTAAATGCTGGTTAATCTTATTCATTATGACCATATCTTCTATATCCAATTAAATCAATTACTATATCTTTTTTAAATTATTATCTAAATCTAACAGCAATTTTAAATATTTCTTCAACAAGATCAGGATCATCAGCATTCACATGAATAATTGGTACATCAATAGCTTTTGCAACATCTGTACAATATAAACCAGATCTACTATCAATTGGAGTTGTAGTAAATCCAATTTAATTATTAACAACAACATGAATAACACCTTCATTTGAATATCCATTTAGATTTTCAAGTTATAATGATTCATAAACAACACCTTAACCAGCCATAGCAGCATCTCCATGAATAATAATGCCTAAACAATGTTATTTATTGCCACATATATCTTACAATGCTCTAGTCTTACCTTATACAACTGGATTAACAGCTTCTAAATGTGATGGATTAGGTAACATAGTCATTCTAATATGATGTCCATCTGGAAACTATTAATCTCTTGTAACTCCCAAATGATATTTCACATCTCCAATATTACCCCATGATTCTTCTATTTCTTTACTATATTTATTTTAAAATTCTGCAAATATTATTTCTAATGGTTTCTTAAATACATTAGCTAATGTGCTTAATCTTCCTCTATGAGCCATTCCTACAATAATATGTTCAACCTTATTTTGAGCACATTAATCTACTAATGCTTCTAAACCTACAATCAATGTGTCTGTTCCTTCAATTCCAAATCTTTTGCTAGTTGTGAATCTGTTTTTCAAAAACTCATTAAATAAATCAACTCTAGCCAATCTCTACCAAGTTGCTGTTTATGTTTCCTTACTAGGTTTCCATTATGCTATTCTATCCATTTCTTGTTCAATCCAATGTTTTTATTCAGTTGATACCATGTGAATGTATTCAACTCCATATTTTTTTGTATATATTTAAGATAATCTATCATAGATCTCTCTAATTGTCCACTCCTCCTTAGATTCCATAAATGGCTAACAATAGAAATAACAATGTACATAGATAAATGATCTTTAATCCTTATTTCCAAAATATATTGGGATATCTAATTCTTCTTTCTTAAATCCAAAACTATCCAAAGTCATCTCTGGTCTTGAACCCTTTACTCTTCCATATTCTTTTGTATGAGGTAGATCTAATAGAAAATCACAAAATTAAATTACTTAATGGATCTAAATCAGCCAATTAATGTCCACATACGAAAAACATTCTAAACATATAATAAGTGCGATATAGCAATTAAATTTGTTTAGCATGATCTAATGGATTCAAAGAAGTTGTGCTTTAGACACCTGCTCCACCATTTATCTATTAATAAAAACTAAATGTAAACTTGTTCACTAAAATATTGTCTCCATCCTTCAGGAACTGCTTAAGGGTTCTTTTACCAATGTTCAAATAAGCCACTAACATATGTTGCCGAAAAAGAATATCTGATTACTTTATTTGAGGCTCTTATCATCGAATTAAAGATATTTAATATTAAAAATATTCATATAAATTATATCAAGAATGATTATAATATCATTTTATAATAATTATTTAATGCAAAATAAACATCAAGATTAATTATATATTTATAATAATTCGTAATTTGATCGAAATATCGAATCAAAATTATGAAATATATTTATTATTAAATATTAAATTACGCACTTTTTATCTCTTCTTGATTCATTACCTATAACTAATTACTTTTATTTATTTAAATTCCTTACAAGTTTTACACTCATTTTTAAAATTAATTTAAGTTAAAAGTTAATCAAAAGAAAATTAATTTATTACTTACATCCTAATTTAATTGAATTTCAAGATTCAGTGTTATTTATAACTAATTTAAAGAATATAAATAGTAATTTAATTTAAAAAATAAATAATCTTTATAAAATAAGAAATGGCTCTTTTGTAAAAAAGAAAAATAAAACTCATATTGTTTTTTATTTTAGAAGATTTTTCTTATATTTCTATATATTCTACATCTTTGTTAGATATTAATTAAAGTTCTTCTGATCTAATTTAATATAAGAGAATTGAAAATATTATTTTTAGAATAGCTAATATTAAAAATAACATTAAAAAAATAAACAAAAATATTTATTTCATCAGAATTTCTTGTTGTTTGTTATAAATATTATATCCTATTTATATAAAATTATTTTTTTTAATAATATCTTCAGTACTTCATTTTGTGAATTGTTGAAATTATTATAATTACTAAAAAATATCCTATTTTCAATATTTTACATTATCATTTTATGCTTCTAACTTTATTAATAGAATAATTCTTAGTTATGTTACTAATATTTGATAAATGACATGATAATTATTGAATTAAGTTATATTTCATATTGAGTGTAGTGTAATAAAGAGATTATTTAAAGTGAAACTTGATCCCAATAAAAAATCAAAATATTTGAAGATATAAGAACTTTGAGTACTTTTTATTCTCTTATTATATAAATTATCCAATCAAATTAATATAAAATTGTGAAATTTCATTCTTAATCAAAGAATAAGAATTTTCAATAATAATAATAAAAAACAAATGGCAAGATAATCTAAAACTTAAAAGAAAGCTCCTAAAACAGGTATTTTTTAGTTTAATTTAAATAGCCACTAAAAAAATAGCAAAAAA